GAAGGGAACTTCGGCGAGCCCTACAGAAGCTAGGACTTACCCCTTGCATGGAGTTGTTCTCGGCCCGAGGGCCAGAGCTTAAACGCAGGGGCTTCCTCGCATCGCTTTCTCTGAACATCAGGGGTGATCTTGATTTCCGGGGGGCTTCCGATCGCCGAAGGCCTTGGGAAGTTCTGAAAAGGGACTGCCCTCTGATGGCGCTGGCGCCACCTCCGTGCGCTGTTTGCAGCCAGGCCAGGGCGACTACGGACCAGATGGATCCGGTAGAGCGGGCTCGTGCCGAGCAGGCGGCTCGCCTCTGCGTGTCTATGTGCGTGCAGGTGGCAGAGTGCCAGATCCGCCACGGTCTGGGCTTTTTTGATTGAGCACCCTCTCGCGGCTAGCAGCTGGCAGCTCGAGGGGCTTCAGAAGCTCGCCTCCCTTTCAGGAGTGCGCTATGTGGACGTGGATCAGTGCGCCTTCGGTCTGTCGGTGGCGCTGGGGGCCCTCTCAAAAAAGCCGACCAGACTTTTGTCAAAGCCTTGAGTTCTTGCATGAGTGCTCTCGTCGACGCACAGGGGACCATGAGCATTGTCAGTTGGTGGGAGGTGCCAGGGCTCGAGCGGCCGCCCCCACCAATTGGCCGGCAGTAGGCTTCTGTTCGAGCCAGCCGGCGAGGGCGCTTCCTTCCCGGCGGCCGAGGGCCCAGTCCAGGTGGGCTCTGACTCGGACGTCGAAGAGCCCTCTCAGCAGCCTCATTCCTCCCCCCCCACCTCCTCAATTCTTCCGGAAGAGCCCGGGGCCCTGGATGACCTCGCTCCCGCGGAGAAGGGGCCGGACCCTTCCAAGCCGCAGGTCGACGCTGAGGGTCAAAACGAGGTCCACCGTCTGCATGTGAATCTGGGGCATCCCCGAGAGGGGGAGTTCGTTCGGGCGCTGAAAGTGGCTGAGGTCAAGGACGAGGTGGTCAGGTGGGTCGCTAGGTGCTCTCAGTGTCCTCAGTGCTACGGTCAGTCTCGTCCGCACTGGCGACGCCGCGCCCAGCTTCCTCGGACTTATCGTTCCAACGAACTGATAGCTGTAAATATTTGTCATGCGTGCGCCTTTAACGTCAACCTTTTGACCATGGTTCCAACTACCAGTGCTGTACTGCATTGAAAGATTCGACGGCTAATCAGGTGGTCCGGACTCGTCCGAGCTTGGATTCGCCCTATGGGCATCCCAGAGATTGCGATGTCAGACGGGGGTTCGAAATTCGAGGCAGGTGTTTTGAAGGGACTTGAGAATCTTGGAGTGTACCACCACGTGTGCGACGCGGAGAGCCCTCATCAAAATGGAAGATGTGAACGCCACGGGGGCCTCGTTAAGACGGCCCTTGCCAAGGCCATGTCGGCCGCCTCGGTCAAGGCCCAGGACGAGCTCGAATATCTGTTCTGTGCGGTTGTCTCAGCGAGGAATCGTTTCACCCATCGAGGCGGCTACTCCCCGTATCAAATGGTTTTCATGGGGATCTCAGGATGCCTCCAATTCTGTGGTCAGATGACGCCGTGGACGACTAGGCGTCCACGACCTGGTGCGAGGCCCCAGAGATTGTGAGAATACCGCGTCGGCGTTCGCTCGGAAGCATTTCCGGGGGGAGGAAGCAAAAAGGGCCGCGGCGTCTCTCGAGGTGACTGAGCGGCTCAAGCATGCCGCCAAGGCCGGGAAACATGCCATATTGTTTCCTCTCCTGGGCCGTGGGTTTACATTTGGAGGAAGCCTAGCGCCAGCGCCAAGACCGGGGAGGGCACGAAAGCCAGGGTGCTGTGGTACCGCAGCGAGGGTTGCGATGCGCACGCGCCTGCTCAAGTGCTCATGTGATCAAGTTAGACGCGCTGCCCAGGATTGGGCTCAAGGAGCGGAGCTCCTTGATTGCCGTGCTCTCTCCAGTCTGAGGTCTGACCTGAAATCCGTCGGGCCGCGTTGGAGCAGTGGATGTTGGGGGCGAGGGGCCACCCCCACCGAAGGGCCTGGGACATCTTAAGGGGCCGGATCGTGCGTCTTTCGCCCCGCCTTTTCCAGTGACCGAGGCCGGTGCCCCCCGTGTCTCGCCGGACCCCGAGCCTCTGGCCCCGCTTGAGCCGCTCCCGGAGATGGCAGATCGCCAGACCACCACCGGCGGAGACACAGCCTCTCAGCCGAGCCGCGTGCCTTCGACTGCCGGCACGAATGCGGGCAGGATTCTCGGCTCGTCTGCCTCTCAGCCTATCCATCCCGCTCCTCCTGTTTTGCCTCCTGCCTCCTTCGTCCCCCCCCTCGCCCCTTCTTCCCCAGCCCCCTCGCCCCTTCTTCATCCGCCTCATCGGGTGAGTCAGGAGCGTTCCCCGACCCCGCCTCCTTCCGACACTTCTGAGGTCGCGCCTCCTCCACAGCAGCGACTTCGGCCGACGCCCGTTCAGGCCGTAGTCGGCCCGGGCCAGCAGTCGCATGATTCAAGTGCGCGAGTCTATGTCGGACCGGCTCGTGCGGGACGCCCCGCTTTGCGTGGCGTGGGAGCGGGCAGCCCGCCCTTTGGCCCCTGGCTCTCAAGATCCCCCCCAGGCCCCGATCGAGGTCTCCGGCCCGAGCTGAGGCCCGAGATCATGCCGAGGGGTTTGATCCGAACGCCAGAACTTGGCATGCTGATATCGACGAAGAGGACGAGCAAGATGACGAGTTGTGGCAGGAGCTTTGTGGCTGGCACGGCTGGGGCGCCTCCTCCTAGGAAGCCCTCCCTGCCAGCTCTAGCTTTACCTCCTCCACCTCTTCCGACTGCAAGTGCGGCGCGCCTCCAGCCCGTCGAGGCGCGGAGGTCAGTTTGAAGAATTCAACGACGGAAGAGCGTCATCTTTTCGATTTTTCTGACGCCAAGGAGTAGCGGGCGATCGTCAGCTCGGGCGCCGTGCGAGTTGTCCCCCTTTCGGCGGCTCAGCTGATCCAGCGGAGGTGCCCGGGCAGAATACTGGGGTCGCGCATGGCTCGTAGGTTCATGCCCGAAGAGGGCGCGGGGGTGGCCCCAGAGGCCAAGTCGAGGTCGCGCGCTCAGGGCCACCGAGATCCAGATCGGGGGGGGTCAAGTCTATGCCCCCACCCCACAAGCAGAGAGTCTCACGCTGACTCTACAAGCGATCGCGTCGCTAGGTTGGCGCTCGAGGTAGCAGATGCCCGAAATTCTCCTCGTCAATTAATCGCTTGCGGCGCCCCCTTGGCGCCATTTACTGCGAGCCATGCCGAGGCCTCCATCTTGCCCCGGGTGAGCGCGCTGAGCTGGTGGCTCCCGTGTGCGGCCTCAGTGATGCACCGCCGCTATGGAAACGAACGGTCGCTGAGTTCTCATCTCAATATGGTTTCGAACAGTCTCTTTTGGAGCCCTGTTCGCGGGTGAAACGATCTAAGCAGGGCCCCCCAGGCAATGCGCCTCATAGAAGCCGATGATTTGATCATTGCGGCTCGTCCCCGGGGGGGGGGGGGGGGGGGGGGGGGCGCCGCGGTTTTCGTTCCCGCTTGCAGTCTCGATGTTATTTCGGCAAATGGAAAACGGCTGAGACTGGTTTCGCAGGTAGGCATCTGAGGCAGGTATTGGGAGGAAAGATCCTGGTGGACCAGGCGAAGTACATCTTGGAGCAGCTGGCGCCTATGAAATTGGACAATCATTGGCGCGCCGATCCCAGCTCTCGTGTCACCAGCGATGGGATTAAGGGGCAAAAACGACGGTCGCCCAAATCCAATGGTTGGGGGGGGGGACCCGCCCGGACGTCGCTGGGGGGGGGTCTCGCTTCAGTCTGCCGTCCTTCCCGCCCCCGCAGTGGAGGGCGCTTTTTTTTTGGTCTCGAGATAGCGCGGCACCTGAAAGAGACTGCGTCACAGCATATCGCAGCGTAGCCTCTCGAACCCACTTTGCTCACGTTCGCCGCGATTTCGGGCGCCGGGGGGCCAGGGTCTGCCAGGCGCGATGGGGCTCAGGGGGCTTTCCTCGTCATCGCGGCGGATTCGGAGATCCCCGGGGACCGCAGAGCCAGATCGCCCCTCCTGGCCTGGAGGTCTGCGCGTTTAAGGGGGGCGGTTCCGTCGACGAGAGCTGCTGAGACCCTGAGTTTACCAGGGGCGCTCGCGGAAGCGCAGTGGCTCCAGGCGTTCTGGGGAGATTTGATTTTCGCCCACGTCTGTTGCCCCGACTGGCATTTGGGGTCGGCTCCGTTTTCGGTCGTCCTGAGCTTGCTCAGGATGTGTCATCTCTGTCGACCGCCGGTGCGAAGCGCGTCTTCGACACTCTCAGTAAGAACAGTGTCGAACAGTGCCGGCTCGAGACAGGGTCACCGTACGGCGATCGAACATGCGGTAGTTCGGGATGCTATGTGCGGTATAGGCCCACAGATACGATGGGTCCCCCATGGACGCATGGCTGCTGGTGCGTTGACAAAAGCAGATCCCGGACGGAGTACCCTGGCCTTGACGGGCCTCCTATGCCCCGGACTTCTCTGTTTGATTGACGACGACAGGTATCGTTGGCAGAGGGCCCTTAAAAGTTTTTGTTGACATCCCGCCCGAGAAAGGCGTCTCGTCGAGAGCTGGAGAGGGAAGGGGAGGAGCGTCGTCGCGAGGAGTTGGTGGGCTTCGGGCTAGCCAGGTCTCCACGGGGGGTTGACGATGTTTCAGGACTCCTGTCTGTCCCAGTGAAAGTGGTCCCGGTGTCCTCTTCTTCCTCTCTTGCCCTTCCCTCCTTTGTGACAGACAGGAACACCGCAGCCATTATGGCTATGGGGCACCCGCGCGCCGAGGAGCGTCCCGCGCCCATTTGCCCTTAAGGGTTGGTGAACAGTGTTTTCTCTTTGCTCACAGTTGTTCCGTTACCCCGATGCCTGCACACACACATTATCTCTCTCCCTCTCTCTCTTCTCCAATTGTCTCACTTTTTTGGTTGTTCTCCTCTCTCTCTCTCTCTCCATCTCTCTCTCTCTATATATCTATATGTATGTGTGTGTATCCTTCCTCTCGCTGCGCAGGAGCTGAGGGCGGCGCAGGCGCTGAGGGCCCTCGAGGTGCAGCGCGAGGCCGAGAGGCCGTCGGCGGACGGGCACGGGCAACGTTAGGGGGGGTGGATCAGCGTCACGGAGGGGAGGGGAGCTCAGGACGCACACGTGATTCAAGAACGAGGGGGAGGAGGAAAACGAGGAGGAGGAGGAGGAGGAGGAGGAGGAAGAGGAGGAGGAGGAGGAGGAGGAGGAGGAGGGGGAGGAGGACGAGGACGAGGGAGGAGGAGGGGAGGAGGAGGAGGAGGAGGAGGAGGAGAGGAGGAGGAGGAGGGGGAGAGGAGGAGGAGGAGGAGGAGGAGGAGGGGAGGAGGAAGAGGGAAGGAGGAGGAGGAGGAGGAGGAGGAAGAGGGGAAGGAGGAGGGGCGAGGAGGAGGAGGAGGAGGAGGAGGAGGAGGGGGAAGGGGATGGGGGAGGGGGAGGAAAATGAAGAGGGGGAGGGGGAGGAGGAGGGGAAGGAGGAGGGGAAGGAGGAGGCGGTGGAGGAGGAGGAGGAGGAGGAGGAGGAGGAGGCGCGCGCTCATGCGTGCCCGTCTCACGTATCTAGCGCGCATGCTGCGGGCGCAGCCGCCTGCCTTGCTCGCTCTCCTCCGGCAGCGTCCTCGCGGGAGCCGGTCGAGATGGCTTCGCTGGATCAGTGACGACATGCGGCGCCTGCGGTGTCTCGTTGCCCGTTGTTGCCTTCTGCCTGATCTGGACTTGGACCCAGCAGCATGGACCCAGTTCATCCTCTCAGACAAGCTGAGATGGAAACAGTGTGTGGCGCTTGTGCATTTTACTGATTCGCTGTGCGACGGTCGGGCCGCTAGCCCAAACGATGCCGTTGCGACTCGGGAGTTTCGATGCGATGTTTGCGGAGTAGCTTTCCGCACCCATAAGCAGCTCGCACAACACCGCCGGATCAAGCACGGCGAGGAATGTCCTCAGAGATTTTACGCTGCGGCGAGCAGCGCCTGCCCAGTCTGCCAGACTGTCTTTGGAACTCGTCTTGCCTTGCTCAGCCACCTCTGCGACTCCCGCAGGCACCGGTGCTGGAAGGAGATGTGCCGGCATCCCGGCCGGTTCGTACAGATTCCGGCCGAGGAGGTTGCAGCTCTTGACGCTCTGGACAACGAAGCTCGAAAACGAGCGCGTCGTCAAGGGCACTCGCACGCGCCGGCCACAGGAGGAGGCTGTGTGCGAGCTGATGGAACACCTGTTGGCCGGCCGATGATATGAGCTGTCTGCCGGTCGGTGGGCTACGCTTTTTGTTTTTTGTTTTTCGTTTGCGACGGTTCGCGCAACCCTTGGGAGCAAAAGTGCAGTCAACCCGCACAGTAAGCATGGGCAACTTTCTCCCAAGGGTGCCCTTGCATCCTTGCCTCCTCGGCCCATCCTTGACCACCTTCGTTGGCCGCGCCCCGCTCGACAAGCTTCGAAGTGGTCATCGAGGGCCCTCGCATCCTCATCGCGCAGATTTCTGACACGGGCCGGCTGCGCGGCCTGCAAGGAGGCTGGAGGGTTGCCGTTGTCGGCCCTGGGATCGTTGGCTTCATGGTCTCCCAGCAGGGGGCTCCTGCATAGGGGTTCCCGCGTGGGTCTCCTTGTATGATCAACGTATACTTCTAATGTATCGTGTGGCAGAACATTGCCCCGATGCCTGCCAGCAGAGGACAAAAACATGGACAACGACTTCTGAGAGCAAGCGTGTCGTTTTTTTTGGCGCTCCGGCGCCTCCGCCGAGCTTTTTGGAGGGCCGTCCTCCGGGACGATTGCGGGCATCTCTCTCTCTCTCTTTCTCTTTCTCTCTCTCTCTCTCTCTCTCTCCCGGGAGGGGGGGCCGTGGCCGGCCACGGGGTCTCCCGCGCGGACTTTCCCGAGCGGCCTCCCGTGTGGTCCCCCGTGTGGTCTCGTGGTCTCCCGCGCGTCCTCCCCGTCGCCCTCCCGTGTTGTCTCGAGTTATGATGTTCAACCAATTTAGCCTTGATCACCAGAAAGAATTTCGAGCACCAGAAAAGTATCAAAAAACCCAAGGAATTCCACGTGTCGGACCCTGGGAGACACTCGTCCGCCACTGATTCGACACTCTTTCGACACTCTTCTGGGTGCTCGAAATTATCCGTAAGGGCTTCGCCCCGTGCCGCCGGCCCCCTGTCTCGGATAATGGGAGATGCAAAGGCTAAATCATGAGGTCTGGGCGCCGCCGTGAAGCAGTGTCGGGACCTGTTTGTTTTTCGACCCTGACCCCGCCGATCTGCGTGAGGGTGCCACCGAATTTCAGGAATGTTGCGAATGCTATTGTTTTTATCGACCCTGCACTGCGGATCTGCGTGAAGGGTGCCACCGAATTTCAGACATGTGGCAAATCCCATGTGTTCTCGAACGCTGGCCCCGCTGATTTGCGTGAGGGGTGCCACCGAATTTGAGAAATGTGACACATCCCCTATTTTTTTGGACCCTGGCCCCGCCGATCTACGTCAGGGGTGCCACCGAATCTCAGAAATGTGACACATCCCCTGTGTTTTTGGACCCTGGCCCCGCCGATCTGCGTTAGGGGTGTCACCGAATCTCAGAATTGTAGCACGTCCCTTGTGTTTATGGACCCTGACCCCGCCGATTTGCGTGAGGGGCGCCACCGGATTTCAAAAATGTGACACAGACCTTGTGTTTTTGGACCCTGACCCTGTCGATCTGCGTGAGGGGCGCCACCGAATTGCAGGAATGTGGCAAATCTTATGCGTTTTTTGACCCTGACCCCGCCGATTTGCGTGAGAGGTGATACCAGATTTTAGAACTGTGGCAAATCTTATATGGTTTTGGACCCTGATCCTGTCGATCTGCATGAGGGTGCCACCGAATTTCAAAATGTTGCAAGTCCTTTCTGTTTTTGGACCCTGACCCTGCCGATCTGCGTGAGGGGCGCCACCGGATTTCAAACATGTGACACAGCCCTTGTGCTTTTGGAACCTGACCCTGCCGATCTGCGTGAGGGGTGCCACCGAATTGCAGGAATGTGGCAAATCTTACGCGTTTTTTGACCCTGACCCCGCCGATTTGCGTGAGAGGTGATACCGGATTTTAGAAATGTGGCAAATCATATGTGGTTTTGGACCTTGATCCCGCCGATTTGCATGAGGGTGCCACCGAATTTCAAAATGTTGCAAGTCCTTTTTGTTTTTGTACCCTGACCCTGCCGATCTGCGTGAGGGGTGCCACCGAATTTGAGGAATATGGCACATCCCTTGTGTTTTTGGAACCCTGACCCCGCCGATCTGCGTCAGGGGTGCCACCGAATTTCAGAAATGTGGCAAATCCCATATATTTGTTGACCCTCAACCCATCGATTTGCGTAGGGGTGTTACTGAAGTTCAAACATGTGGCAAATCCCATGTGTTTTTGGACCCTGACCCTGTGGATCTGCGTGGGGGGTGTCAATTTCCCCCCCCAGAAATTCTTGGAACCCTCCCAGGGCGTCGTAGGTCTGCTGGTTTGGGCTCCCCCCCCTCGTGCGTTCATCAACAAGGAACAGTATGCAGCAAGAACCAAAACTGCAACTGGAAACTGGAAGCTGCAACTGGCACAGTGAGCAGCACATTCCCGGCCTACAGCGTGGTGGCCCCGCAAGGGGTCTGGCGGATTTTTGGGGTGTGTCCTGAAGTACGATGGGGGCAACATAAGTCTCGTGGTCTTCCCCCCCTTCCCCCCCCCGCGCGACCGCCCTCGTCTTCGTTCCTGCCTCTTCCTCGGAGGCAGCTCCTGGGAGGTCAGCTTCTCATTTGGCCCTGGACCGAACTCCGGCTCAGAATCCCGCTGAATGCGGCTCAGTCCCGCCGAGTCCCGCTTCATCCAGCTTAATCTTGCTTAATCCGAGGCCCGTTCCGGCGTAACAGCCCCCCAAAGGGGTTTGGTCCTCCCTAGTTCCTCCGACGGTACCCTCCCAGTAGTTGCCTCTTTTTTTTGTTTCACTACTCAGATAACCTTCTTGGGGCAATAGCTGTGCAACGGCACAATGAAACTGTCACGGAATACCTTTTGGCGGTGGTGACCATGTCGAAAAGTCAGGAGAACAGTTAAATGCCTGAAGTGATCCAGACAGTGCTCGTGTCTCCAGACGAGGAAGGAGGACGGAGGGAAACTATAATGATAATGATAATGAGGTAAAGAAGATGGCACAGGAAGGCGAATATTGGTGTGTGCTCAGGGATGTTCAATTTAAACAATAAGCCGCTGCGCTTGCAACGTGAGAAATGATAATAATGTGAAGTTGTGCGAGCCACACAATTCGCTTTTCGGTAGCCCCGATTCGCCTCACGCTGGAGCGGCCTGCCTCTGCAGACATGCGACGTCTTGACTTTTTCAGTACGGCGTCCCTGGAAGTCCAGACCCTTTCCCCGTGGCGGCTTTTCGTCCCGAGTTGTTCTTTAACGGTCCCGAGGCCCGGCGAGGGCCCCCCGAGGCCGAAACTAGCCAAGACACTCCCGTCTTGATTTTTTCAGTGCGCGATCATGTCTGGGTCTGCGTCGCGGCCGACGGAACAAACAAGCAGTCTATCGTGTTCGCCTCCCGTGTGGTGGTCGCTCCCGCACGCTTTCACGCAGCAAGCGCCCTCCCTCATGCCCTCCCCGTATGCCGGCGGCCGGCCTGGCGCAAAGGAAGGGCGGGAGGGAGCGGGCCCTCTCAGGAGGAGGAGGAGGAGGAGGAGGAGGAGGAGGAGGAAGACGAGGAGGGGGAGGAGGAGGAGGAGGAGGAGGAGGAGGAGGAGGAGGAGGAGGAGGAGGAGGAGGCGGAGGAGGCGGTGGAGGAGGAAGGAGGAGGAGGAGGAGGAGGAGGAGGAAGGAGGAGAGGAGGAGGAGGAGGAGGAGGAGGAGGAGAGGAGGGAGGAGGAGGAGGAGGAGGAGGAGGAGGAGGAGGAGGAGGAGGAGGAGGAGGAGGAGGAGGAGGAGGAGGAGGAGGAGGAGGAGGAGGAGGAGGAGGAGGAGGAGGAGGAGGGGGAGGAGGAGGAGGCGGCGGAGGAGGCGGTGGAAGAGGAAGAGGAGGAGGAGGAGGAGGAGGAGGAGGAGGAGAAAAGGAGCATGAGGAGGAGGAGGAGGAGGAGGAGGAGGAGCAGGAGGGAGGAGGAGGAGGAGAAGGAGAAGGAGGAGGTGGCGGCGGCGGCGGCGGCGGGAGGGGGCGGACCTTCTCAGGAGGCTCCCCTCCGATGAGGGCTTCTCCTTCTCTCTGGGCCTCCCTCCTAGACAGGGTCCGAGCAGCTGGAGTCGGAGGATCGCGCCGCACCGCCGATGCATCGCCGATACGGCTCGATTTCGAGCCCGATTTTCTTCGCGCTGGCGTCGCCGATGCACCGCCGACGTCGCCGATGCACCGCCGATGCATCGCCGATGCATCGCCGATGCATCGGCGATGCGGGACGATTCTCTGACCCCATGTACTCGGACCCCATCTAGGAGGCCTCTATTCTCGCTTCCACCCCTCGGCACGCCGCCGACCTGAGGGTCGAGCTCTCTCGTTGTCTGTTCATGGGGGCCCTGGGCGGAGACATCGCCACCAGCCCTTCTGCAGGTGCGGCCCGCACTTGGACCTCCCTTCTGCTCCTCCACTTCCCTCCCGTTCCTCCGCCCCCTCCGCGCTCTTCTCGCTTCCCCCCCTCCTCCTCTTCCTCCGCCTCCTCCTGCTCCTCCTCCCTCCTCCTCCTCTCTCCTCCTCCTCCCCTCCTCCTCCTCCTCCTCCTCCCACTCCTCCTCCTCCTCCTCCTCCTCCTCCTCCTCATCATCATCATCATCATCATCATCATCCTCATCCTCATCCTCATCCTCATCCTCCCCCTCCTCCTCTTTCCGCTCCTGTCGCTCCCCCCCCCCCGCTCGCCCACGAGTGGGTCCGGAACAGCGGCGCTGCTCGCGCGACCCTTCGGCGGTGCCGCTCCCCGGGGTGTGCCCGCCGTCCCCCCTTTCGGCAGAGGCGCCGCGGCGCGGAGCAGAGGGCCCAGGACAGCCCCGGTGGGGAGGGAGAGAGGCTGGCCCAGCGGGGGCGGCCAAGAGGGGGTGAGGAGCAGGATGCGTGCGTGCGTGCGTGCGTGCGTGCGTGCGTGCGTGCGTGCGTGCGTGCGTGCGTGCGTGCGTGTGTGTGTGTGTGTGTGTGTGTGTGTGTGTCTGTGTCTGTGTCTGTGTCTGTGTCTGTGTCTGTGTCTGTGTCTGTGTCTGTGTCTGTGTGTGTGTCTGTGCGTGTCTAGCCTCTTAGAGGGGGTCCGAGCAGCTGGGATCGGAGGCACTCGCCGCATCGTCGATGCATCGGCGACGCGTCTCGATGTGGAGCTCGATTGTTTTCCACGCTGATGGTCCCAATGCCTCGACGATGCATCGCCAATACATCGCCGATGCATCGCCGATGTATCGGCGATGCGGCGCGATCCTCCAACCTCATCTACTCCGACCCCACCTGGGAGGCCTCTGCAAGAGGGGGAGATGACGCGTGTGTGTGTGTGTGTGTGTGCGTGTGGATATCCTGGCGGGCGCCATGATATCTCGTCTGATTTCATGGCGCCTCTTCTTGTTCCAGTGCATCCCCCCCCTGAGCCGCGCGCATGCCGCCAGCCATGATTTTCGCCCCCCTCTTGGACGCCCTCCTCCCGGACGCCCCAGAGCCCAGATCCGTGGCAACGTTGCAGTCGACACTGGCAGGAAGGAGGAACGGCTTTCCAGGGTTGCCCTTGCATCATTCCCCTTCTGTCTGTCCTTAACTACTTTCGATGTGTGTCTGTGTGTGCGCCTGTGTGTGTGTTTGTGTGTGTGCGCGCGCGTGTGTGTGTGTGTGGGTGGGTGTGAGGGTGTGCGCGTGTGTGTGTGTGTGTGTGTGTTGTGTGCGTGTTGTTGGTTTGTGTGTGCGTGTCTGTGTGTGTGTCTGCGTGTGCGCTGTCTGCGCTGTGTGTATGTGCGTGTGTGTTGTGTGCGTGTTGTTTGTGTGTTGTGTGTGTTGTGTGTGTGAGTGAGATTGTGTGTGTGTGTGTCAAGGTCGGGGTGACGAGGGGGGCAGGAGGGGGACGGCGGGGCAACGTGTGCGTAAGTAGGGGAGCACGGGGCGAGAGGGGTCGGGGAATGTACGTGGCTTGGGGGGGGGGTGCGATGGAGGAGGGGAGGCTCGGCATCGCTCGGACGTGTGCCTCTTCTCTCGGCGAGGACCGTCGGGGAGCCCTCTGGGTGGCCTCTACTGTAAGCTGACCACCAGGGCATCAGTGAAGACGATAAGCATGTGCGACGCATCTGGAGGGGGCCTGCGTCGCAGCGAGGATGACCGGCGGCATATGGGGGCGCGCTCGGCGCTGTGCCCCGCTCGTGGACGACGGCCTCGACGACATCTTCGCCATGCTGGACGAGTACATCCGCAAGCTGCTCTCGATGAGCGTGGTCATGGACGGGCACCTTTGTTGCCTCGGCGGCTTCGTGCGCGTCGCATTTACCAGGAGCTCGCGGAGGAGACGGGCGGCGCGACGGACGCGAAGCACATAGATGAGTTTGTTGCGGGGCTGCCCATCATGGGACGCGTGCCGCGGTCCGGGCGATGGGCTCCCTAGGAGTGGACCGCCGAACCCGACTTGAGCGAAAAGGGCTTACGAGATAGGGCCTGGGAGATTCAGGACAGCATCATCTAGGGGGCCACATGCGAACCCTACCCCTACCCCCCACAATTTCTGAGGGGGAGGGTGGGGTTCACTTCGCTCGGGAGCTCCCAAACGAAATGAACCCCACCCTCCCCTCAAAATTCCTGGGGGCCAGGGGTAGGGTTCGCATGTGGCCCCCTATTCAAGCCGCCTCGCGGCCAGAAAGGAGGTCGTGCCGGACCTGGGGAAGGACACGATCCGTGATTGCGGCTTGGGCCACTGCGTCGGTCCTCTCCGCTCCTGCCAAGAGGGGTCGGAGTGCGCGTGGGCGCATCGGTGGGTGCCAATGGAGCGCTTCGGGGTCGAGCAGCGCAGTGGCATCCGAGGCGTGGACCACGTGGCGGCAAGCTCCAGTTCCGAGTTGACTTCGGCGTCTGCTGCAGCGGAGCAGTTTCACCTGCCGCCCACGGGCGCGGACATTAGCGTGGTCTGGTGCTGGTCGCCTCTCTGGGGACCGGCCGAGTCGCTGGACCCCAGACGATTGCTTTTGGAACAATCGACCGGATCGATCTTCCGCCGCAGTTTTGTTATTGGCTTTGTTTTCCAGGAAGCCCTTGATAAGAAGAGGGTCTTGCCTTTCGTGGGTCCGAGTCGGTGCAGGGCGCCCTGGACAAAGTGTGCGCAGAGGCTCTCATGGGCGTCTACATCGATGGTGCGCCCGTCGGCGCGAACCCTAGTGCGCCCCCTCGGAGTTAGACGCATGCCCGTTGGACTTGCTCGCGCAAGCGATCCCAGGCGGTTGGCCGTACACCTCAGGCGATGCTTAAGAAAACCCAAGTTTTCGGCCAGAGTCTCGATTATTCTGAACGTTTCAATGGAAATCTTAAGAGTTTGATAGACGTGTTGGGGTTTTTATTCAAGTTCTGAGACTATGAATTTCTTAACCCATGATTTCTTAAGCATTTCGCAAGGTGTAGTGCGCCCCCTCGGAGTTGGACGCATGCCCGTTGGACTTGCTCGCGCAAGCGATCCCAGGCGGTTGGCCGCAGGGACGTTGCGCTGGCGCGGCCTGGTGGAGTCGAGCGCAAGGCAATGCCATTCTTGCGGCGGGTTTGGGACTCCACGTGCGGCGCCGCGCGTGCTCCCCGGCATTGCGCGCCTGAGAGCAACAATGTACACCTTAGGCGATGCTTAAGAAAACCCAAGTTTTCGGCCAGAGTCTCGATTATTCTGAACGTTTCAATGTAAATCTTAAGATTTTAATGGAAACGTTGGGTTTTATTCAAGTTCTGAGACTATGAATTTCTTAACCCATGATTTCTTAAGCATTTCGCAGGGTGTACGCCTTCCCCTCCGGTCCTCTCCTCAGGGTGCGAGCGTCGGGATGCGCACTGCAAGCAGTGCGATTTATTTTCGCAGTGGTCGGAGGTCCACAAGTACCAAAACGAGCGGGGCTTGCATGCACACGGGCTCCAGGTGCGTAAATACCAAACCATGCGGGGCTTGTGTATACACACGGGCTCCAGATGTTGTGCAGACAACGAGCATTCATCTACGTAGTGCCACCTCTGTGTTGGCCACGCGGCCTGGACAGAGGTTTTCCAATTGGAATCCCCCCCCCGCCTGGGGTGCCGGTTGAGCTTGTGCGGCAGATTTCGGAGACGTGGTCACAATTGGAAATTCACGCCTGCCGAGATGTATTGTGGAACCCAATGGCAACCTGAAGGGTCGCCTAGCGGGTCCCTGGATAGACGTTTTCGTGAAACAAAGCCAGTTTGCAATGGTATCATAACGAAACCGATATGCTGTTTGCGCAACAAGCGATGGATCGAGGAGGGGGAGTGAACGAGGAGGGAGAGGGATAGAAGGGATGATGAGGTAGGACAGCAAGAGCTCCCCCCCGAAGGAGGCAGAGCTGGCAGCGGACCGCGTGGCGTTGAGGCTGGCCGAAGTGGAGGACGAAGTCCAAGTCCGCATCCTCCTCGCCTGCTCCACGTTCATTCACACAGGCTCCTCCACAGAATGACGGCCAAAGCGCATCATACGAATGAGTATGTAAGTTTTCAAAGGGCACCCCTTGCATCTTTCCCTCGCTGCCCCTCCTGGACGGCGGCGACACCGGCGCGGACGCTCAAGATCGAACGCCCTCTGGGGTCCTGCATCGGCCTCTGAGACCGCGAGACAGCATCCAGTTCGTGGGGTTTGGCTGATAGCAGAGTTTGTGCGAGGTTGAGCTGTTAGCGCGGTAGCCAAAATCCAGGCTTCAAGGCTTGAGCTTGCTGTAATCCAAGCCAACATGTGATGATGCCCCACGGGGCCTAGGAAGAGAAGGCGCCATCCAATAACCTCAAAATTCGACAGACCATCCTAGACACCTGGCGACGTTGTGTGATTGTTTCAGTCTCTTCCCCAGGGCAAGTTGTTCTTCCTGGAATTATGTTCGGGGGCGGAAAAGAGGGGGGTGATGACTAGGGTGGGGTGGATATCATGGCGGGGGCCATGATATTTCCCCAGATTTCATGGCGCCTCTTGTTATTTCATTACGTCTCTGGCCCCCCCGCTGGGCCGCGCACATGCCGCCAGCCATGATTTGCGCCCCCCCCTCTTGGACACCCCCCTCTTGGCCGCTCCCGATATGTTTGAGGGCCCCAGGGTTTGCGGGCGGCCCCGGTTGTAGAAACGATTGGGTAACAAGGGGATGTGTATCATTACACGCCAGCATGGGCCGCAGTACAGTGAGCTCTTGCGTTGAATGTGCAAGCTAGTGGTGAACTCTGTATGGTGCACTCTAAACGGTGTGAGTTATGTGTTGTAAGCTACTCGTCGTGCGAGCTGTCTGGTATAATCTATGTGATCTATGTGGACTGCGTTGTGAGATTCAAGATATGTGGCGCAGGCTACGAAGTGCAATTATTGATGCTCGCTACTGAATTGTCAACTCCGCTGTCCGCGCAATCGTGTAGCCCCCCCAACCGCAATGTGTTTTGCATAACCCATGCGGCCGCGATTGCAGTGCCTTCTTGTCGCTGGCTGGCGCGTCTCTGCGGCCAACCTAGCGCGCGCAATCTCGCCCGCAGATCGGCCCGCTGGTTTGGCACACCCAAGGCGGCCGCGTTGACACTTACCGATCGGAGTTCCCCAGCGCGTCTCAAAGGCCGCGCTGGCGCGTGGGCGTTTCTTCTGTGCTGGTCGGTGCCTCGGACGGACGCGGTATCAGGATGACGTCGACAACGACGGAAACGATGAAGATATTAGTGATGGTCGTGGCGATGTTGACGATGACGGCGGCAAGGCCAATGACGGCGCCGATGTTGGTGACAACGGTGATGATGACGTCCATGTGTCGGCAATGAAGGTGAGTGAGTGAGAACGGCCGATGACGATAACGTGTTGTGACGGCTGTGATGGGAGTGATGGTGAGGAACGGCGTACGCGTACGTGCAATAACCTTGACGCATTTTCTGATGAAAAACCATGTGGGTGTTGAAATGATGCGGAGCAGTCGTGTTTTGGGCCGCTCCGCGAGCGCGTGGCGAAACGCGTGTTTGACCCACATTGTACTATGTGATACGAACGCGTCCACCATGCGCACTTTGCAGCAACCCCGATACAACGCGTGGTGAGATGCGGATGCGGATTCTGGACGAGAGTGCTAAAGTCGAGTGCTAAAGTCATATGGTTGTTCCGATTGTTTCCAGCAAGTGCATGCGGGCAGACAGTCTGACGTTTTCTCATGATCTTAGGGCTCTTGATGTGTGTGGTACACTGAAGTGCTTGCATAGTTGGTATGGTTGGTCAGATTTCGAGATGTGCGCGCACGTGCGAGCGTTGCGCCTGGTTTGTTGCAAGGGATTATCCTGCTGGATATTTCAGATGGTGGTTGGGGCGGTCTGAGTCCACATGGAGAATGAACGGTGAGGCTGGACCACATGTAAATTGAAATGCGCCAGGTGGGGGCGTTTCGTCTGGGCGCGGAATGGAGGTGGAACATCTTATTTGTTGAGCGGATGATGCACGAGTCATGCGCGATAGGTGGAGCAATCCATATGGTGCGACCGAGGTGGTGTGAACCAGGCAGTGCAAGACATGTGGCGTACGCTATGTGGTGTAAGCGACGTGGTGCAATAGTTGCTCGCCGAAGTAGACCAGGACACATTCACGCACCACGTCACTCGGCATGATGACAACGGAGTTCCGCACATCGTCTCGCTCGCTCGCATCGATCGCACCTACACGAATATGGCCTCTGCCGAATTACTCGATATGTATGTACCCTAGCAGCACGACATTAGGTGTGTGCGTGCGTGTGCGCGGAAACATTCGCGGAACAGTCCATCCGGTGCGACTTGCGTGGTGTGAGATCGGTGGTGCCAGTTGTTCGGGGGTGGACAGGCCTCCTACCCTGACGCGTCGACTCGTGAATCGTCCGTTCTCGGTTCTCGAGAGGGCGCCGCGGCCGTCACTTTCCAGGCCGGCGCCCGCCAGGTTTGGGCCCGAGGTCGTTTTCACTAAACCACGTTTTACGAAAGGGGTTCGCTGTGTGGCGCAGGGTCGCCGAAGGGATGTTCGCTGTGTGTTTACGAAAGGGGTTCGCTGTGTGTTTACGAAAGCTTGTCCGAAGGGACTCGCCAGGATCGCTCTGGAATAATGTCAAGGCCCATCCAGAGGCCTCGGTAAATCCACCGACCCCCGCTTGCCAGGGGTGAGAAGGCGTGTGAGACATTTGGCTGTCATCCTCCCCCTTTCCTCCTCCTCCAGGGTCCAAAATTGCGTTTGAGGAGGGAGGGTGGAGGGGAGGGATACCCTGGCGTTCAAATCCAGGGGTTCGCTGTGTGGCGCAGGGTCCGGCGCGCCCCCGAGGCGGCCACGGCCGCCCACCAGACACGAGGCCTCGCCGCCCCCCGCCCAGCGCCAAGGGGCGGCCACGAGGCGCCCGCGGCCGCCCACCGGGCGAGACCTGGCCTCGTCCGTCCACTTCCGCAGAGAGCCGAAGCACGAGCCCCTACAGAGCGGGCGCGGCCGCAAGAAAGCCTCGCAAGAAGCCTAACCCTGAACACCCGCGCGCGAAGTGCACCGGAGGGGGAAACCTGGAGCACTCTGAGCGCAGCAGCTCCTTCAACGGCCGCGGGAAGTCGCCGCGGACGATCAATGGAGAGGAAGCATGTTGCCAAAGCATGTCCAGACGTCCAAATCATGCTTCAAACACGTAAAAACACGATTCAAACGTGTTCCGAACATGTTATCGACATCTTAAACACATTTTAGATTCAATGATAGGACTGTTAGGGTGTCCATTGTCGTGGCATCCACAACCCTACACCTTAGGCGATGCTTAGGAAAACTTAAGTTTTCGGCCAGACTCTCGATTATTCTTAACGTTTCAATGTAAATCTTAAGATTTCAATGGAAACGTTGGGTTTTTATTCAAGTTCTGAGACTATGAATTTCTTAACCCATGATTTCTTAAGCATTTCGCAGGGTGTAGGTTCAAGCACCGCTTGCGGAACGCGTGCGGTTCGCAGGAGACCCCGGCTCTGGGGAGGTCGAACACATCTTGGGCGCCGCGTAATGGGGGGGTCATAAATGGGGGGGCGGCGAGGGTGGTCCGAAAAGGTACCCAAACGGTACCTAAACGAGCCCCCTGGGGCTCCAGAGGGGCCCGAAAGGGGCACGAAAGGGGACCGTTTCTGACCCCCCCATTTGTGACCCCCCCAGTAAGCCACGCCCAACACATCGACCTCCAGAGCTCTTTTCTGGGGTGCGCTCCGGCCAGAGCCTCGAGGGGAGCCGAGACGTTCGGAGGCAATTCCCGGGAGGTCAAATTCTGATGTTGCCCTGGTCCGAAATCCAGCTTGATCGGGGTTGGACAGAACCCCCAACAGTGACACGTCGATTAGTGAATTGTCCGTTTTCGGTTCTCGAGAGGGCGCCGCGGCCGTTATTTTCCAGGCTTGCGCCCGCCAGGTTTGGGCCTCAGGTCGTTTTCACTAAACCACGTTTTACTAAAGGGAGGTTTGTCCATCCCCGACTTAATCCCGCTTAAGCTGGCTTAGTCCCGCTCAATCCCGCCTCATCTGGCTTATTCCCGCTCAATCCGAGGCCCATTCCATCGTAACAGCCCCCCAGTGGGGCTTAATCCTCTCTAATCCATCCGACGAGCACTTCCCAGTAGCTGCCTCCTAAGAGACGTGGTGGCGAGGTGCTCCCCAGAGGCCACAAACACAGCGTCGAACACCTCCCTCCTCGTGCCTCCGTCCTGCTCTGATCGATCCTGGGGTCCAGGAGGTCTCTCGACCCCTTGCCTTGTGGACGACGATCAATGGATAGGAAGCATGCTGCCAAATAACTTCCAGATGTCTAAGCATGTGTTAGACATGTCTTAAACATGTTAAAAACATGGTTTCAACATTTTTAGAACATGCCTACAACACATTAAACACAGTGTGATTTCAAGGATCGGATTGTTAGGGTGTCCATTGCCATGGCATCCACAACCCTTGAATGAGGCTGGTTGCTCGTCCAGGGTTATCGTTATCTTGTGGCGGCCCTGGCCCTCCCGCCCAAAACTCCAGGGCTCCGAAGTGGATTCCGAGCAGATGTGTCAGAGAATCGTACCGCATCGCCGATGAATCTGCGATGCGGTTTGGGCCCGGTCTTCTCAACGCCGACGGCCCCCATGAATCGCCGATGCATTGGCGATGTTTTGGCGACGCGGCGCGATCCTCCGACACCATCTAATCGGGACCCATTTCGGAGGCCTCCAAAATCTCGAACCTCGATCCTCGATCTGCTATCGTCGTTCTGGATCGTCGGGTCACGGATCCTCGTTCGGGCGAGCCTTACTCCATTTCCATTGTGCTTTGGACTTTCTGTGCAGGGGCGCAGAGGACATGGATACATTTCTGGCCCTTCGGAGCCAGAATTCTATCCTTCGGTCGCAAATTATTGGAGCATCATCTACCCTCTTAATTCCGTCTTGAGTGGCAATTAGCGTCGATTCACGTCTGGGAGTCGATGCGATAGCTCCGATTTGGAGTCGATTAGCGTCGAAGTGCGTCGATTGAGCGTCGATTAGCGTCGATTTAGCGTCGAGTAGCGTCGATTCGCAAGAGCCGACGAGATGGTATTGGAGGCTCCCATGCGTTGCCACCGCACTAGGGGCCATGATAATTCTTCCCATGCGCCTCAGGTCTCTCGGGAGGGGAGCCTGGGACACCCAGACGCCGCGGAGCTGGGTACAGATCTTGGCCACATCCAGAACCGTCGAGGCTCGATCCTCGATCGTTTTTCTGGATCCTCGGATTCCGTATCCTCGGACTTTCTCGATCGTCGATCTGGGTCTTCGATCGTTCTCAAGGATGTGTCTGGTTTTAGGTCTCACAAACATCTTGGTGTTTTGAGAGAGCAGCCAATCATTTGGTTCCCAGCCAGTGCAGCGTGGCGAATGTGTTTTCGGGTAGAAGTGTCGGTGTGAATCTTCCTTGACATGCCGATGCTTTCGTAAACAATGCCGTTCGCTAGACATTAGGTATACGCTGGACGGGGCAATTGTCGCCCCCCACACCCCTTGGATCCGCTGGGGGGGTTGGGTACGTGCTGTCGGAATGGATGGAGGAGGGGTTGGAGGAGGAGGAGGAGGAGGAGGAGGAAAACGATCAGGAAAAGGAGGCCCGCAGCAATTTTGGCTCAAGTCCTTAGCGGTGGTTCAGGACGTGAGCGCTCTTTCTGGCACAGGGGATCAGCGGCCCCTACAGTTCGCGGAGGCAACACCTCCACCTCTTCTTTCACGAACGAGTTGCGGTCTACCCGCACGTCTGTTCCAATTACGGCAGGTTGCAGCTCTCTCCCGCAGCAGTGGAGGGGTTCCAGACGTGGCAGTGTCAGCGCAAGAGGTGCGCATACAAGTTCAATTACTTGTCCCGCACCCACTGCCGAGTCTGCGGGCGCGAGGCGCCCTCTGATGTTCCCAAGCCGTCGCAGAACAGGCGCCAAGCTTCTGGGGCCTGGGCAGGAGGACCTCCGCAGCCCCGGCACCGGGGGCCCGCCACGGTGGACGAGGGCCAGGTGGACGTCTACGCGAGGATGGCGCCGAGCGGCTTGGCCAACATCTCGCAAGGATGGTCACAGAAGCACACCACACGTGTCGCAGCTGCCCGTGCCGTGTTGCAAGGTGAACCACAGGCCGTGGCCAGGTGCGCGCGTAACCAGCAAGACACGCTTCACAATCAGCTCAGCAGCAAACAAAAGGCTTTAGAGAAGGTTCAGGAGGCAGCAGCCAAAGCCGTGGTGCACGCCGCCAAGTGCAAGCACAGCACATCCAGGCCCAGTGCAAGGCAGCTGCCGGCAAGGCCGCGAAGGCCTATGTGGAGATGGGCTCCACGGACAACCCCGTCGCGCAGCTCGAGGGCCTCGCCCACTCGATGCCGCAAGGTGAGAGGCTCAAGGATTTCGCCCAGCAGCTACGGGCGTTTGGGCCAGCTCTGCAAGCTCTTCTGCCTGCTGGGCCTGAAGCTCCAGCCTTTGATGTGTTGATGGGTGGCGCCCCCCCAGGCGAGCCTGGGCAGCCCGCAGCCCAGGCAGAGGCTGCCGCCGCCGCTGCAGCAGCTGCAGCCGCCGACGCCGCCGCCGCCAAGGCCCAGGGTGATCAAGAGGCCGCAGCCGAGCGGGTGGCAGAGCAGCTGGCCGCTGACGCTGCCGCCGCGCTCGAGCCGACCAAGCCGACCATGAACTGCTCACCTGGGTCGCCGAGCAGCAGAAGTCAGAAGGACGCAGCCCCAGCAGAAGGAGTGATCCAGCTTCTGCCGCCTCGCTCGCCGACCAGCACGGCGTCAAGCGCGAGCTTGTGGCAGGGATTTTCGACGCCATCCTCCTCGAAGCACGCAACAAGAATCAGCACTCTGGCGCAGGCCCGTCTAGCGGGTAGCACACTGGCTCACTCGTCTGGTCAAAGCTGGTCGTTCGCCACGGCCAACGTCAGTGGGCCCTCGGGGCTAGAAGCTATCTTGATGCATGAGAAAGTGCGATCCTGCCAAGCGCTGGCTGTGCAGGAGCATCACGCACTTGCAGATCAGTGTGATTTTTGGGAACAGAAACTGCGGCAGCAACAATGGTGAGCCGCTATGACAGCAGCCACCGCCACTCGGGCGGGTGGCAAGTCGGGCGGCCTGCTGCAGTGCGTGCCGTGGCACCTTGGGCTCGCCCCCATCGGAGTGCTTGCCCTCCCCCCTTGCCGATGGTCGGGCTCGCGCTCTGCATCGCAGCGGCCTGGCGCCAGGAGCTTTTCAGTTCCGAACCGTCAATCTTCGTCACAGCGAAGGGCTGTCTTCGCGCAGTTGGCGCATTCTCGAGCAGACTGGCCAGACCGTCAAGTGATTGGGCCTCCCGTTCGTTCTCACAGGTGGTTTTCAGATGACGCCGTCCGAGCTCGAGAGCAGGGGATGGGCCGAAGCCATTGGCGCCGTGCGTTTAGCCCCCCGCTGGCGCTACATACACTAAATCAGCGAAGTCGGGCGGCCGAGCCATCGACTACTACATCGTGTCCCCCGTGCTGTCCTACCAGGCCCGCGTGGAGGTCATCGTGCACTGGGGCGCCCCCCCCCCTCACTTTCCCGTGCTGCTGGCTCTTGGCGCCATCGCGAACGCCAACATGCAGTATCATATCGCTCGGGTGCCGAAGCGTTTTCCCATGGACGCCCCCGTCGGTTGCGGGCGCGCCGATCCTCGGACTCGGTGGGGCCACGCCACCGCGATGATGCACGCTATTGACATAGATGCCACATGGAGGCTCTGGCTCGCCAGCGCTGGGATGGATTGGGCCGACGTGTGCGGCCTCAGCCCCGCCGACAACTCAGAGTACTTTGGGCGTCGTGAGCTGCCGGCCTTGTCTGTCGCGGCAGCTTCGTTGCCCGCTGCGCTGCCTTCCCCGCGCGTCAGCCCGTCGCGGTTTGGCGGTTCGCGGCTCGTTGCTTTGAAGGGCTCGCGCGATGGCTGCCGCCGCCGTTGCGTGCAGGCACCTTGCGACTTGCGCGACAGGTGCAGCGTCGTTTCAAAGCCAGTCGTGTTATCGAGTTTTTAGCCAGACCGTGGCTTGTGCTTCTGGGCGTCGCGGCGCAGCTGCCGATCGAGCTTGCCGCCGCTGCGGCGACGATCACCAAATCCTTGGCCGTCAGAGCGCACCGCCAGGCTGAGCAGGATAAGCTAGCGGGCTGGCGAAGTCAGGCCAGGCGCCACTCGCTCGACGGAGCAGCAGCACTGCACGCCTACTCGCGGCCCGCCATCCCGTGGCACGCCAGCAGCACCAGCACGGCTGGTGCCCCCTGCGCGCTTCAGGAAGAGGTGGAGTTGCTTGGTCGGGAGTGGTCGGAGTGGTGGGAGGTTGGAGCGCCGCACGAGGCCATCTATTGGCCTCTTGATCTGGGTCCGCCCTTCGAGCGCCCCCCACTCGAAACTTTTAAGTCTGTCATTCGCTCCTTTCCCGCTCGCTCAGGATGCGGCTTCGATCAGGTTTGCCCGCGGCAGCTGTTGTGTCTTTCCGATTTCTTTCTTGAGGTTTTGATCGACGTTTTGGTTGAAGTCGAGACGGCCTGCAGGTGGTCAGTCATCTGGAACATAATCGCTTTTTCTCGCCAAGTGCGATTGGGGCTTCAGGCCCGTCGCGCTGATCCACATTTTTGCCCCCGTCCAGTGCCGACTGCGCAAGCCGTTGGTTTCGCGCTGGCAGGCGGATCACCCTCGAGATTGTTGGTGGCCCACAGCTGGCCCAGTCAGCCTCAGCTGAATGGGCGCGTTGCAAAGGTTTCGACAGTGCCCTTGTGCTCTTAGACCTGCAGAAGGCCTTCGAACGCATCGAGCACTCTCAGCTGGTCTCGGTCGCGAAACGCCAGACGTTTCCGCTTCGCCAGTTGAGGCTTCTCATAGAATTCCATCGCTGCCCTCGTGTCCTCCTGCCTGCAGAACGCGGTCTCTACTCCCGTGGAGACGCTTCAGGCTGCGCCCCCAGGCTGCCACTTTGCCACCTTGATGTTGCAGCTCATGTCGCTTCCTCTGGACACCGTCCAGGCGGCGTGTGCTCGCGTGCAGCTAGGCAGCTAGGCAACGTTGTTGATGACTTCGGGCGCCAGCGCCTCGGGCGCGAGGCTGACGTGGCCAATGGGCTTGCCGTTGACACTGCTCTTTTGCATCGCGAGCTCGCTGCGGCGAACTTGCCCGTCACGCGGCGCAGCTGCAGCATCGTTGCCCCCCCCCCCCCCCCCTGCTCTGCGCATCGAACCCGGACGCAAGTTGATGCGCGATCGAGTGCAGGCCGCCAAGACGGAGCGCAATCTTGGCATTGATTCCACCGCTGCGCTTTACCACCCCCAAGCCACGCGAGCTGCAAGAAAAAGGCCAGCTGTCAAGCGCGCCAAGAAGTTGTTGTCGTTGCGAGGCCTTGTGAAGCGCAGTTTCATGCGCGCCATGGTGCGGATTGCAGTTCCCTCCTCCATGAAGCATTCTGGCGCGGTGTCGGCACTGCTGGCATGGATCTCAGGCTGGCACGCACCACCCAAGCACAAGTGCAGGCGCAGCGTTTGGCAGGGCGTTCGGTCACGCTGCTGCTGATGTTGTCCTCCAAACCCACCGTTGATCCCTTCGACTCCCTCAACCTCGATCCTCTGATCACCTTTGCCGCCGCCGTCTGGGGCCACTGGCTGCCCAGGGGAATGCTGGAGCAAGGTATCGTCGCCGAGGTTGAGCGTTTGCAGGGGCATGAAAACCCTCGGTCCAGCATTCGAGGTCCCTTTCCAGCCTGTGCCGCAACCGCTCAGAGGATCGGGATCGAGATCCCTGTTTTTTCGTGGCGGGTCGCTGGCTTTGGAGTTCTCGACCTTGCTGCCGTGTGCCTGGGCTAAGGTTGCAGGGCGCGAAGGGGTACCCGAGCTTGCTAACTGATGTCTGCTTGAGCCCGCGCGCAAGATCCTTCGCAGTAGCGCGTTCTCGCATCAAGAGCGGGGCTAATTCGAAGTCTGTGATCAGCGGAGGCCAATGTCCCCAGCATCGGTAGTGGACCGCCAAACTCTTTGCGTCTCCTGAGTACAATCTCTGGTTGAATAGTCCTGGTACGTTGCTGCACAGACACGCCTGCTGCCCAGGCCACTCCGAAGTCCCTCCTGATGCGGCCCCTCCCGGGTTTCACCACCAATCTCGTCAGGGCCAGCGGAGTTACTCTTCCCTTGCTCTTTGCCGAGGGGCTGCTTGTGCCCGGCGCTCCTCCCCCCTTCCTCTGCTGCGCTGCCTGAGAGATGGTTTGGAGGAGGCTCGCAGGAGTTATGCGGGCATGTTTTTGCATGGGCTGCCGTTGCCGTCAATTCGTCCTATCCCTTTCGCACCCTCTCTGTGCTGGTTGGCTGTCTCGCCGACCCGGAAGAGACGCCGGCGCCGCCGAGTTGGTGGCGCTGCCGCGCGGTTTTCAGCACGCACTGCCAGGCACCGTCTTCAATTCGGATTTGCCGTTCGTCGCCGATGACCTCTATGTCAGAGGCCAGGCCGCCTGATACTCTGCCGCCAGCGCCTGGGCTGATATTTGGACTCAGGTCTGGGCGCGCGTGCAGGACGGGGGGCGGGGGGCTCGAGAATGTGCACGTGCGCAGGGTCAAAGGACACTGCGCCGAAGTGCGCGCGCAGCAGGGCCTCGCCTCCCGCTTTGAGAAGGTTGGCGATGATTTGGCCGACGAGTGGGCCCAGTGGATGGCCCAGCGTGCGCGCGTGCCCGAGTCTATGCGCACCGCGCGTCGAGCCAAGTCACGCGTCGTGTCCAAGTGGGCCGGGTGGCTTGCCCGTCTCGGCCCGCGCATGGCTGATGTTGACTGTCCCCGCGTCAGCGCAGCCCGAACCCCCACGAGCCCTCGCTGGTTGTTCTTCCCCCGCCGCCCTCCCGCACCCCGAGAGCCCTCGGCCAAGCTGATCTCTCGGCTGCGCGGCAGGCACTTGCGAATCCAGACGCGCGTCAGCATGTCATTCACCCGCTCCAGCTGGCCAATCGCGAGTGGTGTGTGGTCTGCGTGAGGTGTGGGTTTGGGGGTATGAAGGTTTCGGCCAAGCTGAACCGGGCCTGTCCAGGGCCGCCCCGTCCAGGCTCGCACGGTGCCCGTGTCCTCTCCAATTTGGGCCGCGCGCCAGCGATATTTTCCGTGAATCATGTGGCACTTTTTTTGTTCAGAGGCTCTGCGCAGCTGATATGCTGATAGTTGGCGAGGCCAACTCTTCTGGCTCCGTGTCCGCCCGTCAGTCGCCACCTGCCTCTGCGCAGCGAGGTGGCGGAGGTGGCTTGTTGCGCCACCCCGCTGCACGCGCGGTGGCGCAAGTGCCACGGAGTCGGGCACGCCGCATTCTTCTGTCGGCGCCACCCGCCTCTGTGCAGCGTGGGGGCGCAGGTTGCTTGACGCGCCACCCCGCTGCACATGCGGTGGCGCAACTGGCATACGGGGCGCGACAGACCCATGTTGCGCTCAGGCTTTGTCGAGGATGAAGAAGAGGAGGGAGAGGAGGAGGGGGGAGGGGGCGGGCGTGGGCAGGTTCAGCCAGAAGGTGAACCCCCCCACTTGATTACACAAAACAGCTCATCTGGAGCAGGTGTGCGCAGATCCGATCCCATCCTCATCGTCATCCTCATCCTCCTGGACTCCTCCTCCTCCTCCTCCTCCTCCTCCTTCTCCTCCTCATCGTCATCCTCGTCCTCGTCCTGTTCCTGCTCCTCCTCCTCCTCCTCCTCCTCCTCCTCCTCCTCCTCCGCCCCCCCCCCTCCCCCGGCGCTCCAGGAACTGCTGCGGCAGGAGCGCGCCCTGGGCCGCTGCGCAGAGGACCTGGCGCGGCGCGCCGAGGCCCTGGCGCGCGGCGAGGCGGCGGCGGAGCGCCGCGAGGAGGCCCCGCCCGCGTGCGGCCCCCTGGCGGGCCCGGAAGCCACCGGGCGGAGTCCCTCTGGCGGCGAGCGAGGGGGGGAAGCGAGAGGGAGAAGGCCAATTCAGAAGGTTCGGAAGGCTCGGACAGGGGGAGGGGGAGGAGGAGGAGGAGGAGGAGGAGGAGGAGGAGGAGGAGGAGGAGGAGGAGGAGGAGGAGGAGGAGGAGGAGGAGGAAGAGGAGGAGGAGGACCAGGAGGAGGGAGAGGGGAAGGAGGAGGAGGAGGAGGAGGAAGAGGAGGAGGAGGACGACGAGGACGAGGAGGAGGAGGAGGAGGAGGAGGAGGAGGATCCCTGGCGATCGCGGCGCGGGGTCGGGCGCGTTGCCGCCGTTGCCCCCGCCGTCCGCCCGGAGGCACTGCTGAGGCGGTGCGAGGAAGTCCTTGCGCGGTGCGGCAAGCGCGAGGAGGACCTGGAGCGGCGCGAGGACCACGGGCAGGGCTCATTTCGATTCCCCCGATTCGATTCGATGTAATTTCGATGGATTCCAATTCCGATTTTATTTGTTTTGGGATTCCGACTTGGGTTTCGATTTCTCACTGGGCGCATACAAGCTTCCGATTTCCGCCGATTCGACTTTTTCCTACTCGGCTGCTGATTTTTGCCGATCCGATTCGTGTCGATCGCCGATTCGACTTATCGATTCGATCCTGGGCTATCCTGCACGGGGGCCCCACACCCAGGTCTACGCTGAGCGCACTCCTGCTCCAACGGTCGAGCGGGGGCTTCTTCCAGGCCTCCCAGATGTGGTCGGAGCAGGTGGGGTCGGAGGACGGCGCCGCATCGCCGATGCCTCGCCGTTGTATCGCCAATGCATTGGCGACGCATCGGCGCGGCGCGATCCTCCGACCCCATCTCGGACCCAATCTGGGAAGCCTCCATTGCGGGCCCGAACCAAATCCACTTCAAGCGCCATCCTGCGTCGTGTTTCCACCATCCTCTCCCGACCGGACGGGTTGCGCCGTTGGCTCCTCGAAGGCCTCGGGAGGCCCTTGCGGAGGGCACAGAGGAGGCTCTGGATCCCCCGCCCCCTTGCCCAATCGCCCCCCAAAGAGGGCCGAAGGCGCGCAGAGACCTTGAACCTTGGCTCCTCTTCCTCTTTCTCTTCCTCCTCCTCCTCCTTCACTCCTCCTCCTCCTCCTTCTCCTCTTCCTCCTCCTCCTCCCCCTCCTCTAGGAGGCCGTGGCGTTGCGCGAGGAGGCCGTGGTGTTGCGCGAGGAGGCCGTGGGGCAGCACGAGGAGGTGCTGCGGGGGCGCGAGGAGGCCGCGGAGAAGCGCGAGGAAGAGGATGCTGATGATGATGATGATGATGATGATTATGATGATGATTATGATGATGATGATGATGATGATGATGATGACGATGATGATGATGATGATGATGATGTTGATGTTGATGCTGATGATGATGATGATGATGATGATTATGATGATGAGTATGCTGATGATGCTGATGATGATGACGATGATGATGATGATGATGATGATGATGTTGATGTTGATGCTGATGCTGATGATGATGATGATGATGATGATGATGATGATGATGATGATGATGATGATGATGATGATGATGATGATGATGATGATGATGATGATGATGATGATGATGATGATGATGATGATGATGATGATGATGCGGAGCAGGAACAGGAGGAGGATGAGGATGAGGATGAGGATGACGATGAGGATGAGGGTGAGGAGGAGGTGGAGCAGGTGGAGGAGGAGGAGGAAGAGGAGGAGGAGGAGGAGGAGGAGGAGGAGGAGGAGGAGGAGGAGGAGGAGGGGTGGGGCTCGGCCAGGGGTGGACAAGGACTCGGGTCGAGCTCACATCCTCCTCGTTCGTTTCTGTTCGTGGCGTTATTGTTGAGCCTCCTCCTCCTCCTCCTCCTCGTGCGCCTGCTTCTGTCTCTCCCGTCCTCCGAATAGCGTTTGTCGGATCTCGGCGTCGCGTGGCCTACGCACGCCGAGTCGCCCAGTAGCCCGACGATTGCATTCATCCGGGCTAGGGAGAGTAGCTTTTGGGAGCGGAGGGGGCACCCTCGTAGAAGGCATGTCTGCCAGTGTGGACTCTAAGCGCTGAGTCATTCTTCGCGCTTCGCGTTTCCCCATTGTTCCCCTTACCCTACCTGGCTTCACCAGTGACGAGGTGCTGAGCGCTACAGGGCACGTCCTCCAGCGGGCCAGGACCACCCCCTCCCAGGACACCCTGAACAGTGGCGCCCGCAGGCATGGCCTAAACGACAGTGTCGTCCGAGTCCTCCAAGCCACCGTGCAGCACCACGTGACCATCGTGTATGTATGGCCTCCTGGCACCGGGAAGACCAGGTTCTCGGTATGCGCGCTCGACACTTGGGCGGGCACACTGGTGCGGGGCCAGGCGGTGGCGTTCACAGCGGGCTCCAACACCGCTGCGGACCAGCCCGTGCACGCGCTGGTTACCGATCACTAGCAGGGCCTCCTGGACGAGGACACGCGCTTCCCAGACCGCTTCGTGCGCCTGGCATGAGAGCACCGAGTCGCCCCGTCCCTGGTAAACCTGACTCCTGGCGGGCACTACAACATGGCCGTGGGCTCGTTCCCTTACCAGGACGGTGCAGCCTCGTCGGATTTCCCACCATTCCGAGTCGGCCTGCTGAAGGATGCCAAGGCCATCGTGGCCACCACGAGGCTGCCGAGGCCTTGGGGCAAAGCAGTGCGGCAAAGGTTGCCCTGCTGATCGTCCACGAAGCTGGCCGAACTACTGAGCTCCACGCCACCATGTCCCTGGTCAGTGTCATCAGGGGTGGTGGCCCCCTCGTTCAGGTGGGCGACCCCAAGTAGCTACCGCCCGCAGTGATCTCCAAGCTCGCCGCGGACCTGGGCTTCTGCATTTCCATCCTCGACAGACTTCATCACGCCCTGATGGGGCAGGACTCGGCGGTCGTTCAGCTCGCGGTCTGCTACCGGATGCACCCGCAGCTCCTGGCATGGCCGGACTGGGCCTTTTACAACAACGCCATGCGCAGCGGCCTGGCTTCTCCTCTGCCTGATCGACCGTTAGTCGATGGCTTCCCCTGGCGACCGATCTTGGTTTGGAACCAGGACGCGCTCACCGAGCTGGCACGTGCATGGGCGACCTCAGGAGGGCCCTGGAACCCCTGCACCCTGCGGGCGCGGAGGAAGGCAAAAGGCATGGGTTCCTCTTGGTCGACAACCCGTCCTTCGAGGTCGCCTCTAGCATACATGCTGTTTACGCCGACCTCCCAGAGGCGGCGCAGGCGGTGGGCCTAGTCAGAGCGCTGATGCCCGCGATGGAATGGGGGGGTCAAGGTCCGCCTGGCGATCGGGCATCAGCTACAAATCGCCATCCTGGAGGACGGGTGGCCGCAGAGAACGGCCAGCATCAAAGGCGTGTTCTGGCAGTCCAAGGTTAGCAAAGGCAAGGCCAAGAGCGGCAGGGGGAAGACCGAGGGGAACGATGGCGAAAAAGGAGACGGCAAGGCCAGCAAGGACAGGGGCCGCCCCCCAACCCCTGCGACCAGCCTGGCAGGACAAGAGGGCGGAACGGATGGCCAGAGGTTCGTGGACCGGTCGGGCTGGACCAAGGTTTTCGACCAGGAGGAGTCTTCGTTCACCGGCATTGGCACCAACTTCCCTGGCCTGCAACAGGTTGCGCCCCAGCGTCTGCAATCAGGCAAACGGGTGCCCTCCACAATCGATTCTTGCACAGGGGGAGAGGCGGGGACATCGTGATCTTCCTAACCGCCAGGTCGAACGGAAACCATGAGTGGGGTTTCATGGACAGCGCCAGTAGGATAATTGTTGCCATTGCAAGGGCCACTCGCTTCGTCGTTATCATTGGCGACGGCAGAATGTTCGCCTCCGCCGCGTGGTCGAGGCTGAAGGTGCTTTACGAGTGCGGGCGCTTGGCTGATCTCTGGGTCAGATGCATGGATCTGCGGTGGGCTGACTGGCGTGCCGGCCTTGCTGTCGACTCCAAATTCGACCCCGTCGTGTGCCTGGCCACCTGGGTCACCAGCCTTGCCTCCTGGGGCGGCCACGCAAGCGGGGGCGTATCTGGGGCGCAGCTGGACAGCGCCATCAATAAGGCCCGTGACTCCCTGGCCATCAGCTTTACCAAGCGCATCGAGACCCCGCTCGACCCCGGCTTCAACTGGGATGCGCTGGACATCGGCGTCGCCAACAGCCTCGACCACCTCCTGGCCACCCCCGCCTTCTCGGTCGTGCTCTACCTGGTCTCGGGCCTGCATCCCCGCGAGTTCCCCCTCGACGACTCGCCGAGAGAATCTGGGAGATTCGACCGCAAAGCGTGGTCGCACCTCGGCTTCCTCAGCGACGTGTCCCTGGGCCTGGATGCTAGCAACCTGGTCTACAACGTGCTCTGGGCGTGCCGTGCCTGGGTTGCGGGACTGGCCCCCCCGTGGAAGGGCCGCGACCTGGCCCTCCCAATCGATCGCAGCTGCCGATCCAGGCCGGACCGGCAGTGCGCGCCCATGGACTTTCCAGGACAGGTTCCGAAAGCTTGGGGCAGGAGGGCCCGTGAGTGCTGCAGGCGTCGCCAACGCCCTGGCGCGGGCACCCCGGCGCGCCTCCTCCAGCCAGCCATTTCGAAGAGGCATGATAGGCGCGGGCGGGGATCCCATGGGTTCCCCCGAAGCTCGTTCTCTTCTGATAAGCATGATGCTCCTGATCAGGGAGCCCAGGGTGTTCCTACGGCCGTTCCCCCACGTGGCGGGCGCTGGGGGCTTCATTGAAGCCGCGCTTGGCATTTGCGTTCCCCGGCAAGACGCCCACCTGATGTTCCGTCAGAAGTTTGTCGAGACCTGGGGGCTCTCCTTGAACGATCTAGTGCGCTGCGCGGCCGCATCGAAGATGCTCTCCTCCACGTCTCCAGACTGGTGACTGTAGCGCACCGCCGTGGAGCAGCAAAAGATATCAACCGCCGACAGACCTGGAAGGGCTTGGAGAAGCATGACTTCAAGCTGGAAGCACCCATGATTGTCCTGGAGCAGATCGCACCCGCGGCAAACATCGCAATCCTGGCAAACGCCACGTGTTCCATTTGTGCACTCCACCGCGAGCTGGCAGACTCGGACGCTGGGTTCGGAGATCCAGACGACGAGTCTGCCTTGGGCTACATCGGGGGAGGCGCAGCCCTTTCGCGGAAGGACTTGGGGGCCCCCAAACCCGCCCCTCCAGCTCCTGGCGCGCAACTGGTCCCCCCGCTCTTCGAGGATGGCCGGCTGGATATGTGAAGTTCCCCTGCGACGACTGCGGCAAAGCTCGCCTCAAGTCGACACAAGGGCCCTGGGTGGGCGACGAGACCAGGGAATTCTTGGCACAGAACCGCTAACAGGCATGCCTCTCAGGCCAGAACTTCAGGTGGCTCTGTGAGGGCTGCTGGGTCACCGGCGTCGAAATGCGCGGGGACCCCACACCAGTGGGTGCCGACGTGACGCAGCGGGTCCAGGACTACAGCGCAGAATTCTAGCATCTTCTTGGCGTCTGACGCTTGTGCAGCGCGAGCGAGGTGTCATGGGGTGGGTGCGTGGAGCAAGGTGCGCCGAGGCGCCCCAGCGATCTGGGAGGTGTCCTTGGGGCGCCCGCGGCGAAACCCACTGGTCGCCCACTGGCCGCCCGGGGAGTCGGAAATCCGGCCGCCCAACCCATGTGCGTCTTGGTCCAGTCTGGCCCGTTTACCCTTCGGACAACGGTTGGCGAGGCAAGCGGCGCAGATGCCATCGGCGCATTCGGGTCCGATTGGCAATTCGGCCCGTTGACTAGGACAAAACGTGGCTCAGTGGGAAGGGGTATGTGGTCCGACGTCAGATGTGGCGTGGGCGCGCTTAGTTTGTCCCTCGCCATATTTCTTCCATCCGCGGGTGACAGCGCGGGGCCATTCTTTCCGCGCCTTTCACTTCCTCTCCTGGTGGGAGCCGCGGGTCCGGACGTCATGATACGTCTCAATTGTGGCCTCGGTTTCCTGCGTCGCCAGAAGAGGAGGAGGAGGGGGATGAGAGGGCGGGGGAGGAGGAGGAAGAGGAGGAGGAGGAGGAGGATGTGGAGGAGGTGGAGAAGAGGAGGAGGGGGGGAGTTGGAAGAGGAGGGGGAAGGGGAGGAGAGGAGGAGGAGGAGGAAGAGGAGGGGGGGGGAAGGAGAGAAGAGGAGGAGGAGGAGGAGGGCGAGGAGGAAGAGGAGGATGGGGGAAGGAGGAGGAGAAGGTGGAGGAGGTGGAGGAGGAGGGGAGGGGGGCGGGAGGTGGAAGAGGAGGGGGAAGGGGAGGGACGAGGAGGAGGGAGGAGGAGGAGGAGGAGAGGAGGGGGGAGGAAAAGGAAAAGGAGGAGGAGGAGGAGGAAGAGGAGGATGGGGGAGGGAGAGGAGGAGGGGGAGGAGGAGGAGGAGGAGGAGTGAGGAGGAGGAGGAGGAGGAGGAGGAGGAGGAGGATAGGAGGAGGAGGGAAAACAAGTAGGAGGATCAGGAGGAGGAGTGGAGGAGGAGGGAGAGGGAGCACGAGGAGGGAGGAGGAGGAGGAGGAGGAGGAGGAGAGGAGGAAGAAGAGGAGAAGACAGAGGATGATGATGATGGTGAGGAAGAGGAGGGAGAAGACAGGGAGGAGGAGGAGCAGAAGGAGGAGGAGGAGGGGGGAGGAGGAAGAGGAGGAGCAGAAGGAGGAGGGGGAGGAGGAGGAGGAGGAGTAGGAGGAGTAGGAGGAATGCTACGAATGTTAACGATACGATTGATGATAATACGAAGAAGAAACATAATGATAGTACACATAATGATGTGACGAAGAAGAATAACACGATGAGGAGGAGAAGGAAGTGGGGGAAGGGGAGGGGGGCGTCGGGGTCAGAGTTCCTCCTTCCAGCTTCCTGCTTACATATATATATATATATATATATATATATATATGAGTTGGGCCCCTGGGCGGTGCCTGTCATGGCCCTCCCAGGGGCCGACAACGACCCGCGACCCCCGATGACCAGGGGAGCGGGTAGGGGGAGGGGTAAACCCCTCCCCGAAGGGGAAGAGGTTTTGGAAGAGGAACGACTTAATCCCGTTAGAACACCTACGCCCAGAGTGCTGGTGGGATTTCACTGTGGATGTGCAGGCTAGTTTGTCAAAGCTATGTGGTGTAAGCTAGGTTTTGCAGTATACTTGGTGCAAGCTATCCATTTTGTGCGCTGGGCTTCTTCTCCTCGTCATCGTTGTCCCCCTCCTTGTCATCCTGCGGGCTCTGTCGTAAGCGAGTGGAGTGGCGGCTCCCTACAGAAGGGCGGCCGATGATGAGGATGGGCGGAGAGAGTTGATAATTGGAATGCGGAAGATGATTAGAACGGAGACGAGAATGAGGGGGAGAACGAGAACAGGGCAAATGACGAGGATGATGGAGGCAGGATGAAAAGGACGTAGGGTCCGAGGAGGAGACGCTGAGACGCCTGTTTTGAAACCTCGCTACAGCACATGTTCACAGGGACGCCGTCTGAAGTGGTGGAGGGACGTCTCACGAGTCTCAGGTACGACCTTGGTGCGTCGGGCGCGCCATGCGCCTGGGGTTCCTGAGGCAGCTCTACTTTTCGTGGGGACTATGATTCAGGCCAGCGTGGCTCGGGCGATAGTGCATTTGCCACGGCTCCGCACGGCGCCGCCGATCCGTCTGGCCACCCTTGCCCGTCGCCATCCATCTCTGCCTTTCCTCGTGCCACTGCCATCGCGTAACGTGTGACCAGCCCGTCTTTCTGTAACTCACAATCGTTGGGGACTGAGCATAGGAACCATCTTTAGTCCGAGCGCTGCTCGCGGAGTGTGCATTGGCCAAGGCCCCACGGGGCGTTGCCACTCTGGCTGATCAGCCTCGCCCGCTGCCTTCCATAGCCTCCTCTTAAACATCATCTGCGTGAGCGAGACGCGCACGAGCCCCAGGGAATTGGCGAAGAGCTCCATGGGCCCATTCCGGTCGCAGGTCGGACTGTTTCGTGCGCATGCGTTCATACATATACCTGTACGCTGGATCAGTTGCCTGCGCGTGCGTGCCGCTGGGTGCCGCGCCTGGGAGCAGGAAGTTCTGAACTTTCTGGGAACCTCAGAGGAGGGGCCATCCAGTAATCCTGACCGTCGGTGAAGTCAACTATGCATGGTGGGACCATCCTGGGCAGTCCTCATGCAATCTTCAGGCAATGATGAAGTCATCAGGGGGCCGTCTTGGGGGCAGCAGGAGGCAGAAGGTCTGACAGACGGTGGCCCACGCTCTTGCTACTGGGGCGACTTCGGCTAACTTCAGGCAGCCCCCTCAGGGCTGCCGTCGCGCGCGCGGACTAGACCTCTGAACCATTCGACCGAATTCACCTCTTTGCAGTATCTCGCTTGCCAGTGGCCCATTGAGCACGCGAACTTTGGTCCCAGTCGCTCCTTCCTTCGGTACTTAGGTCCTTCCTTCCTCCTTTTCCCTCTTGCTGCCACCGCCCCACCTGCGGCAGAGGCGGCTGCCGCCGCCGCGACGGCGATGGCGCCCGACGACTCGGCCGAGTGGCTGCAGGTGCGCGGCCCAGACTGCGAGGACAGAGGGGATGGACGATCCTCCGGACGTGTGTTGGCCCATTCTCTTCTGCCATGTTTCCGCACTTTGAGCCTCGAGGTATCTTTTGGGACACGAAAGGCGGAAACCGGACATCGGGTTAGCCGCCGCGTTTTGACGGTCGCAGCGTGATTATTGACGGGCCTGTTGTCCGGATATGTTCGCAGCGAGAGCCAGCGTCAGATTTCAGTCTACGTTGCGTCGTTTTCATGGCCGACCCGTCAGGCCAACTCGAGTCTCGGGCGGGCGGTATTGGGGGATGACCTATTAAATGGGTGGTGAAAAAAAAACCCTCAGTGGCCTAAAGGGCCCCTTTAGGGCCCTTAGGAGGTCTTCAGTTTTGCCCCCCCCTAATCTCTCGGCGGGGCGGGGAACAAACTCACCCCTCCTCTTCCTACCCCCTCCTACTCCCCCTTCCTCCTGCTCCTCCTCCTCGTCCTCCTGCTTCTGCTCGTGGTCGTCATCGCAGTCGTCGTCGTTGTCGGCGTTGTCGTCTTCGTCTTCGTCTTCGTCGTCGTCGTTGCGGAGATGATTTCCCCCCCTATTGTTCGGCGTGCTGGGTAATATTGTTTTTTTCCTCCAAGGGATTTTTCCATTGTGGACTACCTTACACGCGAGTGGTTGCGTGAGGACCTTTTCATGAGTATTGCAATGCGGTTGTAGTCTTGATTGTAGTCGTGGTTTTAATCGTGATTGCAATCGTGTATGTAGTTGTGGATTTCGTCGTCGTCGTAGTCGTGGTTGTCGCTGCATTCGCTGTCATACTCATAGTCGTCGTCGTCCTCGCTGTTGGGGTAATTCCCTCTCTATGGTTGGGCGGGCTGGATAATGTTGGGGTTTCCTTCCCCCAGGGAATAATCCATTGTGGGCGACCCTACCCGCGAGAGGATGCGTGAGCATCGTTTTAGAGTCATGGGGATGACAATGCGAATCAGCGGTTGTGGTTGTAGTCGTGATAGTCGTGGTTGTAATCGTGATTGAAATCGCGATTGTAGTCGTGATTGTAGTCGTAGTCGTGGTTGTAGTCGCGGTTGTAATCGCACTCTTAGTCGTAATCGTCGTCGCATCGTAGTTGTAGTCGTAGGCGTAATCGTAGTCGTCGTCGTCGTCGTTTTTGTGCCGCGGGTGCCGCGCAGAAATAATCATCTTCCATCACTGGTGTGGCCTAGTGCCAGTCCGTCCATGAGGGCGTCGAACAGATGATTCGTTTCCACCGCTGGGGGAGTGCTGGGCCCACCCCCGTTACCACCCGCCCGATGGTCTCCCAAAACCCGGTCCCGCGTGCGGGCCTGCTGCGCGCGCTCACCCTGGAGAAATTCGCCCACTGTGTGGGGGCTGCCCTGATCAGCCCCTCCGGCAGCACGCAACCCGTGTCGGACCGCCCTTTCGGGCCTAACGAGAAGGGGGGGGGGATAGGAAAAGGAGGGTTGCGAAATTTGCTGCATGCAGCGGGTTTCCGCCCCGCCGCCAGGCCCATGCCTCCATGCACAGGCGCCTCCCGGCGCCAACAGGCGCCAGGAAAGCCAGCTACGTGAGCTTTTTCCCTGCCCTGCCCTTTGCTGTCCTACCCTTTCGTCCCGCCGAGTCTTGCGTCTCCCCGACATGAGGTGTCTCCAGTGGACTTCGTTTGGCAGCGTGCGGGTTTGATGCGCGCGCTCACCCCGGAAGAGGTCGCCCAGTGTGTGCCCAGGCCTCCTAGATTCCTAGATGGGGTCGAAGTAGATGGGGTCGGAGCCGCATCGCCGATGCATTGACGATGCGGCTTAATGGTGAGCCCGATTTTCTCCGCGCCCACGTCGCCGATGCATCCCCGACGTCGCCAGTGCACCGCCGATGTATCGGCGATGCATTGACAATGCTGCGCGAACCTTCGACACCATCTACTCGGACCCCTTCCAGGAGGCCAATGGTGTGTTGCCCCGATCTGCTCCACCGATGGCGCGCGGCCCGTGTTGGCCCGCATGCCCATCCCCTGCGTCGGCATCGGGTGGGCGCGGTGGAGCTGGCACATACCCGATATCCTGGATGACGTGGGGCTCAAGGCGCTTTCTCAGCGAGGCTACGCCCTGGGTGGAGGAGTCCAGGGAAGCTCAACTTCGGCACTGTTGAAAACACCTTTGCGTACTCTCTCCCCTGCGTCGGCATCGGGGGTGGGCGCGGTGGCCTTGGCACACTCGGGCGCCGGCGCGCGTCCCAGGACCACCCTGGGGAGAGCGGAGGGAGGGCACGGCTCGTTGCCGAGCCGACCAGTCCGATTCGGAAGTGTTGACGTGAAGTCGGGCGTGTCTCTCTACAGGAGGAACAGTCATAGTCAAACGTAGTCAAAAGAGGGTTTGTTTTCCACCACCACCACCAGAAGTAGGAGGGCCCCCCTCCTCCTCCTCCTCCTCCTCCTCCTCCTCCTCCTCATCCTCCATCTCTTCTTTTTCCTCCTCCAACTTACGGTGGTGGTGTTGGAAAACGGGCCCGTCAACCTAGGCTTCCCCGTCCCGCCGCGGGTGCCGCAGAGCAGCCCGACCCGCGCGGCTCGGGCAAGGCGGCGTCGCGCGGGCGGCGGGCGGCATCACGCGACCCACGCGGGAGGTCAGCGGCCAATCGAGTCAGCATATACCGAAGAGGAAAAGACGCCACGACCACACACTGTTGGCGCTTCGCGTGGATTTCTTGGATCCGCGCGGGGCTCCCCTGGCGCGCTCCGCGCGCCAGGGAGGAGGGGGGGGGGTCCAGCGCGGCTCGCTGCTCCAAGAAATCCGCGCGGAGCGTCAAGCAGTTACGTGTCTGGTCTGCTTCTTCTGAGTTTGAAGATCGTTGCAACAGCATGGGGAGGTGCAAGAGCAGCCGGAGGGGACAAGAGGGGCGCGGCCTGGAGGGCCCCGGCGGTGCAGCGGCTCCTCGAGCGGAGAGAAGACCCCCCGGGGTCCCCTTGAATGAAGTCGGGCCTGTCCCTCTACAGGAGGAATATTCAAAAATAGTAATATAGTCAGGGGGCCATTTTCCGACTATTTTGGGCCATTGTGGAATATGGTTCGTTATTTATAATTTTTCCTCGAAAATCGGCCTGTAGGGGGACAGGCCCGACCTCACCCTTGAGGGCCCAGGGGGACGTTAGCAGAACCCTGACATGGGCCGCACGATGGCCTAACCAGCGTTGACTCGGCAAGTGTGGCGCCGTCGCTGAGCCTCAGCCAGCCCCTCATTGTCATGTGTGTCTCCCGGCCGATGGTGAGCCCCCTCCCCCCGGCCTTAGATGGGCCGTGCCGTGAGGAAGTTCCAGATAGCCTGGCGAAAGACCGATTCCAAGCAGTGGCCTTCTCTTCACAGGTAGCACGCCGCGATTGGGATGGAGCCCAGGGCAGTGCGGATGGGGGGCGGCAGACAGGGTGTCCAAAGGTGAGTTGGGCTGTGCGCATTTTTCGCCGAAAGGTGCTAAATGAGATGGCCGAGAGATAATGATAGTGGGCTCTGACGGCGAAGAGGACGGTCATGTTTCTGACGGTGGTTGGGATGATGCTTGCGGCGATGGTGATGGTGTGATGAACACGACGTTGGCGACGATCGTAGCGCCGGTGGTAACAAGGGCGATGAGGAATCGCGTTGGCACACATCCCTCATTCCGAAGATATTGGTTGATGACTAGCCTATCGGTCGTCAAACGCGTTTGATGACATATCCGTTTGAATGCTTCGATCACCGATGGCTTGGGATGGGTGTCGTCGTGCGCTCGTGGAGACGCGCGCGTCGCATCTGAAGTGTTTTGCCCGTTTCTGCCGACCGCCCCTTTAGGTTCTCCGTGTGGCCACGCTTAGGTAGTAGGTTGATCGGTTTCCTCTCGACCAGTTGGTTGACAGTTGGTTTGGGGCGCTTCCTGGTTGGAAACTTGCGCGCGTCTGTAAAACCCTGATGAGGGGTGGTGGCTTCGGGAGCGCGCGCCGCTAGCAATTTATCAGGAGAGGAAAGAACACGCAGACACACTTAATCGTCGACTCCCAGGCAAACCTGGGACAGTATGGGAAGGGGGGGGGAGACGAAAACCCAGAACTCATAAGTATGGGGAATCCTGGGATTTCTGTACTTTTCTCTGCGTGTCTCCCTGGGCCCCTTCAAATTAACAAGGATTCGTGGCCTCGAGCCTCGCGCGCCGAGCTCTCAGGAAACGATGCGGTGTGGCCGCCCCAGGAGCACGGGGCCGTCAGTGGAGCCATGCTGGGCCCCGGGGCCTCACCGAGGGAATGTAGCGTCGGAGAAATCTGGGTCCGCCCTGGGGCCCTTTTGCCCCCTCCTCCTCCGCCCCCTCTTCCTCCTCCCCGTGGCAGGTCTCCTCGGAGGCCTCCCAGGAGCAGTTTTTCGAGGCCTCGTGGGTGCCTCACCAGGGCCTTTTTACGTCATCACGCCGTAATTCGCCGCGCACCACCGAGAGGACGAGGCGGGCTCCCAGACGAGCCCATCTGCGCCATCCGGAAGCAGTAGCGGCAGCAGCACAACCAGCACCACCAGCGGCGCCGAGAACAGCAGCGGCGGCGAGGGCTCGGACCGCCCATCGGAGGCCTGGCTGGAGGAGGAGGATCGGCTGTTCAAAGATGGGGACTTGAGGCACGGGGCCCTAGGTCTAGGCATCCCAGGTGGGATCGGAGCAGATGGGGTCGGAGGATCGCGCCGCATTGCCGATTCATCGGCGATGCGTCTCGATGCGGAGTCAGATTTTCTCCACGCTGGCGTCGCCGATGCAGCGCCTGTGCAGCGCCTACGTCGCCGATGCATCGCCGATGCAGCGCGAACCTCCGACCCCATCTTCTCCGACCCCATCTGGGAAGCCTCTAGAGGCATTGGGCCTTGAGGGACATCGAAGCAGCATCAGACGTGGCATGAGCATGCGCGCCGGTCGTTGGAAGCTGGTCGTTCTGGCCTTTTCTGCCTCGAGGGCCGAGCGGTGTTGCCTTCCCCCTCCTCTTCAGGGGGCGGGCGCAGGCCGAATCTACTTCCAACGCCTTCCCACTTCATGCGGCTGCCCACTTCTTCCGACCGACGGGTATGCGTCTGGAGGTACTCGCAGATGTCTTAGAGCTGCTCTTAGAGTCCGCAGCGTTCGCGCGGAGCGCGCCAGAGGCGTCGCCAGGGGCGCTGCCAGGGGGTCCCAGCGCCGATCCAGGAGGTCCACGCGGACCTCCGAGAGTTTGTGTTTGTGCAAAAGTTTGGTTTCTCGAGTGGTTGTTTCTTTACGGAAGGGATCCCAGGTTGCATTCACTTTGTCTATTGTTTGGGGTCCCTCGTCCTTGGGGCCCCCTCGCTCAGGCCCCCCATCTTCGAACCGACGGGGTGAGGAGGAGAAGGAGGAGGAGGAGGCCTCGTTCCTCGTCTCCGCCGCCAGTCGGTGGGTACTCGTGACACACACACACACACCGTGTCGCCGATCGAGGAGGAGAGGATAGACATAATCGAGGACGCCGGCGGCGCATCACCAGCCGCTCCCTGAGAGTCAGACGAGGTGGCGCGCGGCACCGAGAATCGTGACGCAGCGCGCATGCCATTATCCTTGTGGGCGGCGAGCGAGGGGGGGGAATGAGAAGGAGAAGGCCTTCTCAGAAGGTGGCGGGGCTTCTCAGAGGCCCTCGCGCCTTCTGAGAAGTTGTTTCTGTCTTGGGGAAGGCTCAGAAACTTCTCAGAGGGCATGGGGGACTTCCGAACCTTCTGAGAAGGCCTTTTCCTCCTCACTTCCCCCTCGCTCGCGGCCGACCTTGCCTGGGGTTGCCTGAATGCGTCGTCCCCTCCTCTTCCTCCTCCTCCTCCTCCTTTTCCTCCTTCTCCCTTCTCCCTCCTCCCTCCTCCCTCCTCCTTTTCCTCCTCCGCATCCTCCTCCTCCTTTTCCTCCTCCTCCCTCCTCCCTCCTCCCTCCCTCCTCCTCCTCCTCCTCCTTGATCACGAAGCTGCTCACCAAAACCGAAGCACGAGACCGCCCGTCGAGCCTCGCCCTGCCCTCTCGGCTCCCTTCGGTCGGAGGGTGCGCCGCGGCCGCACGCCCTGCAGGCCTGCGCCCGCGGGGCAAGCTCCCAGGTCCCTTGCACTAAGTCGCTAGAGTTGAGTCGGCTCTGCAGGAGAAATACTCAAGAATGGTCAAGCATTAGTCAGGGGGTCATTTGTCTTTTCCTTTTGTGCTATACTAGAACATGTCTGGAGTGTTTCAATTTTCCGTGCAAGATCCTCCCGTAGGGGGACATGCCCGACCTAACACGGTGCTCCTCTCGGGGGCGGCCAAGGATCAGGAGGGGAAGCACACACACAGACACAAATCATCGTCGATCTTTCTGAACATATGGGAAACCGTGGAAGTGGAAGGGAAAGACGAAAATCCAGAAACAACGAGACACTATTGGGAATCCTGGGATTTGTGTCTATCTACTTGTGTGTCCCAGGGCCACTTCAAAGGAGGGGGGGGGACGGATCTATTTTTTGGGGAGCGATTCTTGTGGCTGGGGCCGTGGGATCTCCCCGGATCTCAGGGCCCCCTCTGCCTTCAAATATGCCCTTTGCCCCTCCCCCCGCCGATGATGGACAATCGGGCCGATGGCAGGCCCCGCTCGAGCTCCCAGCGAGCCCTCGAATACACACACACATATATATATATATATATGTATGAGGAAGCCTGGGACGCGATGTGCGCCACCTGCTCCAAGACAGCCGTCCGCGCGGCGAGGTGCCGCTGCACCCCGCTCTTGTCACCGTGGCTGGCTGTGCAATGTGTAAAGCAGAATGGGAAGGGGAGCGGGCCGACGGCTGCGACAGCTGCGGCACAGCGTCGTCCGCGCGCGTGCCTCCGGGCTAAGCTTTGCCAACCGTCCACAGCCATGCGACGCCATGATGTTTTCAACACGGGGTCCCTGGAAGTCCCGACCTCTTCCCCGGCACTGGTCTTCCATCCTGAGCTGTTTTCTGACGGTCCCGAGGCCTGGCGAGGGCTCCCTGAGGCCGAAAACCAGCCGATTCTTCCCGTCCTGATTCTTGTCACGACGCGATCATGCCTGGGTCCTCGTGGACGCCACCTCGTGGACGCCCAAAACCGCTTGGGCTTCTGTGTGCCCCCCCCCCCCCCCCCCGAAGGGGCAGCCCGGGCTCGGGAGGCGCCGGCTGGCTGCTCCTCGGGAGCGCCCTTGCGAGGCGGCTCCTCGCGGTGCGCTCTCCTCTCGCACCCTCCCAAGGTGTGTCCTTCTGCGCGGGGCCGTCTGGCGCGGTCTTTCTGTAGCCCCACCTCTGCACCTACGTGCACCCTGGGGCGTTCTTGTCGGAGGTTCGCAGAAGGGGGTCGGGGGCGGCAAAGAGGGGGTGTGATGACTTGGGGGGGCTGGATATCATGGCGTGGGTCATGATATTTCCCCAGGTTTCATGACGCCTCTTCTTATATCATTACGTCCCTGGACCCCCCCCTTGGGCCGCGCACACGCCGCCGGCCATGATTTACGCCCCCCCCCCCCCTTCTTGGACGCCCCCGAGGGGGGGTTGTCACCAAGGTGGGCTTATGACACCCCAGCGGCGCCTCCCCAGCTCCTCCTCCTCCTCCTCCTCCTCCTCCTCCTCCTCCTCCTCCTCCTCCTCCTCCTCCTCCTCCTGAGTTGCCGCTGAGTTCCTTGTCCCTCGCTTTGGCCTCCCCAGCGGCGCCTCCAGCGCCGCTCCTGGCTCGCTCCGCGCGCCAGGGAGAGGGGTCCTGCACAGATCCAAGAGATCCGCGCGGAGCGCTTATGGCATCTTTTCGTAAGTCGGGCCTGTCCTTCTACAGTAGGAATATTCAAAAATGGTCAGTCAAACATAGTCTGGGGACGATTGTTCGAGTATCTTTTTGTGTATTTTCGGTTTGATTTTTTCTGCCAAAATCCGCCTGTAGGGGGACAGGCCCGTCCAACATCTTTTCTTTTTCTACAGTTGGATGCTCACCTTTCCTTCTTCAAGGGGGCATTTGGAGCGGTCTTTCTCGAGCCCCACCTCTGCCACATGCCACACCTTTGCGTCCCGCCGATCTTGGATGGGGGAAGAGAAGGCAAAGGGAGGCCAGGCTCAGCGGGGGATGTATCGACCTCCAATCGCCCAATCGAGGGTCGAGGTTCGAGATGTTCAAACGTTTTCGGTGGTGTTCGTCGGCTTTCCAGCCTCGGGATGCCTTCCAGCGGCTGCGCCTCGCCGGGGGCGTTCAAGGAGTGCCTGGATCTTCCCGAACAGCCGCCAGAGACCCGAGGCATGGCTCGAAAACTAATGGGCAACGACGGGGGGGAAGTCTCAGCGGGGGGGATTCATCGACCTCCAATCGCCCATCAGCGTTCGAGGTTCGAGATGTCCGAACGTTTTCGTCGGTGTTCCTCGGCTTTCTCATCCTCGGGATGCCTTCCAGCGGCTGCGCCTCGCCGATGGCTTTCAAGGGGGTGCCCCCCGCACCGTCCACAGACCCGACGGCCTGTCGCCGATCTATCCGCGATGCATCGCCGATTCCAGTCCGATGAGATCCCTTCCCCTGAGCAGGCCCCCCCGCCCCTCCCGAGGAGGAGGAGGAGGAGGAGGAGGAGGAGGAGGAGGAGGAGGAGGAGGAGGAGGAGGAGGAGGAGGAGGAGGAGGAGGAGGAGGAGGAGGAGGAGGAGAGGAGGAGGAGGAGGAGGGAGGAGGAGGGGGGGGGGGCAAGAGAGGGGCTCGCCCCGCCCGCCCGTCCGCAGAATGGCAAGCGGGTCGGTCTCGAGGGGGGTGTGTTTCTCCGAGGGGCGGAGAGGGGGGGGGGGGCTGAGGCCCGGGCGGCGCGTCGCCGAAAGGCAGGTTCGCCACGGCCAGCCTGTCGTCTTTTTGTTTCCTGCAGGGAGGAGGAGGAGGAGGGAGGAGGAGGAGGAGAGGAGGAGGAGAGGAGGAGGAGGGGAGGAGGGGAGGAGGGAGGAGGGAGGAGGGAGGAGGAGAGGAGGAGGAGGAGGAGGCAGAGGCAGCAGGAGCGGGAGGCGGTGGAGAGCGAGGCGGAGGCGATGGCGGAGGCGCAGCAGGAGGGGGCGGGGAGAGGGGGAGGGGGCGAGACGTGCCCTCTGCATCCCCTCCCTCGAGGTTCGAGGATCGGCGGCCGGGGCCCTCGTCTCGGCGGTGTGTTCTGTGGGCGCGTCCCGGCGATGTTCTGGCCGACGTAGGGCCGAGCTCGGCGCGGCAGACCAGCCAGGTCGGGCCCCGAAGGGGGCCTTCGGGGGCCGATGCGGACTTGGGTCCGGGTGGTGCACGTTACTATCCAAGATCCTTCGAAGAAGGAACAAGGCCATAGCCATAAAAGTCTTGGCGCTGCGCGCGGATTTCTGGGATCCGCGCTGGGCCCCCCTTGGCAGCGCCTCTGGCGCCGCCCCTAGCGCGCTCCGCGCGCCGTGGAGGGGGGTTCAGCGCAGATTCAAGGAATTCGCGCGGAGCGCCAAAAGTGTATGTTGATGCCGTTGCTTCTTTTTCTGATCTCGTCACGGCCAGCAGCTTATCATAGTTTTTTGTGCCCCTGGAGAACCTTGCCCGACCCGGATTCGTCGAAAGACGGCTTCGGCGATGCTGACTTGGACCCGGGCGATGCACGTAAATAAGATCTTGACATGGCCAGCTGGTCGTCGTTTCTGTTGTGCCCCTGAAGGTCCTGGCCCGACCCGGAGTCGTCGAAAGACGGCTTCGGGGTGAACACCTCGATGGCGTCCAAGAGGGGGCATGGACCAATGGGTGTAAATATCATGGGATCACTGATTATCTCCCCAGATTTCGTTCCCAGATGTCGTTCCCAGACGTCCAGCCACCAGTGATCATTACTATTGCTGATGGGCTTGTTTTCCACCACCACCACCACAAGTTGGAGAGGGAGGAGGGGGAGGAGGAGGAGGAGGAGGAGGAGGAGGAGGAGGAGGAGGAGGAGGGAGGAGGATGAGAAGGAGGAGGTGGAGGAGGAGGAGGAGGACCTCCTCCCCCTCCAACTTATGGTGGTGGTGGTGGAAAACACGCCCATCAATTGCGATGCTGGGGAGCTCGATGCATCCTACGTGCCCATGCGTCGTGAGGGCGGATGGCTGCTGTCTGGCTGTCTCGTGCTGTTCCACAGCGTGTCTCCTGGCCCGCCCACCGGGGGGCCGCGGCCTCGTGCCTCGGGCCCCGGCATGCGTTTTCCCTGCTCTCGGACACCCCCTCTCGTCGGGGGCGGAAAAGAGGGGGGTGATGACTAGGGGGGGGTGGATATCATGGCGGGGGCCATGAGATTTCCCCAGATTTCATGGCGCCTCTTCTTATTTCAATACGTCCCTTGGCCCCCCCGCGGGGCCGCGCACATGCCGCCGGTCATGATTTGGACACCCCCCTCTTGGCCGCTCCCGACTCTCGGACGCCCCCGAGGCGCCAACTGCCGATGCATGGGCGATGGAGCGGTGATGCGGCGCGATCCTCCGACGCCATCTGCTCTGGATGGGTTATGTATCAAGGGGGAGGGATGAACCTCCCGACGGAGCTTGCCCAATCCCGCCCCCTCCGTCCTCCCTCCCTTCCTCCTCCTCCTCCTCCTCCTCCTCCTCCTCCTCCTCCTCTTCCTCCAACCCCCCCTCCACCCGTGCCGACAGCACGTGCCCAAACACCCCAGTGGATCCATCCAGAGTACCATCCACTCGGACCCCATCTGGAAGGCCTTCAAATCCGCCAGCGTCGCATAAGCGTCTGCTACTCCATGAGATAGCGCCGAATTTGTGTCGATTTGCGTCGACCAGCGCCAAGGTAACGTCGATTAGCGTGACGAGCAGACTGCAGCGCCGGAGGAGGGGAGGGGGCCGTCCTGCGCTGAGGCTCCGAGCCCTGCCTCCCGCTGGTGCAGAGCCCCTCCTCCGCAGGGTTGAGGTTCTTCCTCCTTCCCTCCTCCGCCTTCCTCCCTCCGCCTACTCTTCATGTCCTTCTCATCCCCCTCCTTCCTTCTCCTCTTCCCTCCTCCCATTCCTCCTCCTCCTTCTCCTCCAGTCCACTTCCTTACGCATAACTTCTCCCTGTCGCACCCCGAGGCCAGTTTTTAGGGCGGGCTGGGCGTTCCGCCTGAGACTTCCTGACCACTCATGACCCTGAAGCTCTTAGAAAGTGACAACAGTTTCACAGATGGAGGCCGGGTAGTTTTCAAAATGTGGCTCTCGCCTGAGCGCCGCGCACATTCGTTATCGAGAATGGGACGAATTGCGCGGATTGAGGGCGGGTTGTTTTCAAAATGTGGCTCTCGCGTTAGCGACGCGCACATTCGTTTGCAAAACTCGCAAGAGGTTCACTTAAACATGTGGCTCTGGCCTTGGTGCCGCGCACATTCGTAACATTTGCACGAGTTTTATTTATTGAGGGCGGTTTCCTTTCAAACTATGGCTCTCGCCTTAGCGCCGCGCCCAATATTGTTGACGTTGCAAGGGCTTAACATATTCCCACGATCGACGTATCAGAAATTATGTTTTGTAAGGCATACTGATCATGAGGGCACAACAGCTACGATGCTTCGCAATTTTGAAGTCCCAGGAATGTCGTTCTGGCACGGTTCAGGATCGTCAAGACGCAACAGTTAGGCATGCTTCAGGGTGTTCCAACGGTTGCCTGACAACGAGTCAGGTCCCTTTGTGGAAATGAACCGTTGTAGGGGCCTATGAAGAGGGTGCTTAGGTGAGGGCTTATTCAAACATCGTTGGTGACCCATGGGTTTACACTGCTCCTCCTCCTCCTCCTCCCTCCTCCCTTTCCTCCTCACTTCCTCCCTCTCCTCCTCCTCCTCGTCCTCCTCCTCCTACATCCTCCTCCTCCTCCTCCTCCTCCTCCTCATCCCCCTCCTCCTCCTCCTCCTCCTCCTCCTCCTCCTCCTCCTCCTCCTCCTGGGTTCCAAGCCTCCCGAATGGGGTCCGAGTAGATGTATCGGAGATGCTGCTCGATTCGAAGTCCGATATTCTCCACGCCGACGGTGCTGATGCGTCGCCGACGTCGCCGACACATCGGCGATGCATCGACGATGCATTGGCGATGCAGCGGGATCCTCCGACCCCATCTACTCTCACCCCATTTGGGAGGCCTCTGCTCTTGCTTCAGAGAGTGCTCCAGGACACAGTGCTGGGCGTTCTTCCTCCTTCCTCCTCCTCACCATCATCCTCATCCTCCTCCTCCTCCTCCTCCCTCCTCCTCCTCCTCCTCCTCCTCCTTTTCCTTCTCCTTCGAAGACCACTTAACTTTGGTCTCTGGCTGCTCGAGCCTGATGTGCGGCCCACTCGGCGGACGCACCTCCGGCCGCGCTGGGCGCCTCCCTCTGCCCGTGGGAGGCGCTCGACTCGGACGACTGGCTCGTGGTGGAGGACGTCGAGACAGTCCTGGACGACTAGACTAGCAGGGGCCTCACCCTTCGAGGAGGAAAAGGTACGGATACCGCCACCTCTCCCTCGTTTTCGCCTTCCTTCGAAGAAGAAGAAACGCCATAAACATACACTTTGGGCGCACCGCGCGGATTTCTTGGATTCGCGCTGGGCCCCCCTGGCGGCGCCTCCAGCGCCGCCCCTGGTGCGCTCCGCACGCCACGGAGGGGGGTCCGGCGCGGATACAAGAAGTCCGCGCGGAGCGCCAAAAGCTTATGTTTATGTGTAATGTGGTTTGTTCTTGTTCTAATACCGCCACCTCTCCCTCGTTTTCGCCTTACCGCTGATTTCGCCTCGAGATTCTGGGCAGAAGGCACCGCAGGAGAGGTCCAGGGGTGTGCAGTGCCAGTGTCAGTACCTCTTGGTTTCCCCACGCCTGGGCCATCTCGGAGGCCCGGAGGTTGGCACCGACACCAGTATCGGCGGTTGCCTCCGCCGAGGGAGTCTGATGCCGATATCGGCGAGGGTGGGAGGATTCGAGCTCCTTAGGTTGCGGCACCGGCCGCATTTTGGGGAGGGCACCACCCCCGGTCCATGGATTTGGCGACAGCGTGCCAAATCCATGGATCTCTAATCCATGTTTGCGCGCCCCCGATATGTGGCCGGGAGAATACCACCGGCACCACAATCCACGATCGTCTTCCCCTCGGTAGGGGCACCCCCCTTGGGGATGGTGCCGATGCCAATTGCCAGGCCACCAACATAGGCACTGCAGCGGGGCGACTGATGTTTCAGGCTCGCGGTGCGCCAGCCCCAAGAGGCTGCCGCCGAGCTGGAAGCTCAAAGTTTGAAGCGCGGGGCGACCTCCTCCTATTCAAGAGCCAGCGGCGTACACCTAAATTTTTGGAGCTCCGCGAGGATTGCTCGGATGGGCGCTGGGGCCACCTTGGCAGCGCATCCGACACCCGCACGGGCGCGCTCCGCACGCCATGGAAGGAGGTCCAGTGCCGATCCAAGAAATCAGTGCGGAGCTTCGAAAGTTTATCGAAGACGCCTACGGCGAATCACCGCCGCCCCCTGCCTTTTTGCAAGCGCCTATGTGGCCGAAGGTTGTGGCCAGACCTGCCAAGCTATCGGACCATGTGTTCCCCGAATCGGTTTGGAAAGCCTTCGGCGAACACGTGGGCATCTTGAAGGACATCTTGGCCGTCTGGAGGCCATTTGACTCTTTCTGGCCTTCTTGGAGGACGTCTTGGAGCGCTCTTGGACCGTCTTGGAGGCCATCTTGAGCGTCTTGGAGACCTCTTGGGCCGTCTTGGGGGCCTCTTGGGGCTGTGTCTTGGGCCTCTTCGGCGATCTTTGGGGGCACTTGGGCCGTCTCGGGCACTCGGAAGGCAGAAAAAACATAAATGCCACAATCCCTCACAAACCCATGGGGAATCAATGATTTTGGCCTTTTCGGACCTTCCTGGAGACCCTCTTGGAGGCCTCTTGGGCCGTCTTGGGCCATCTTAGGGCCATGTTCGGCCGTCTTAGTGGGCTCCTGGTCTGTCTGACGCCGTCGGAAGCCGTTTGGGGGGCCTCTATGGGCCGACTTGGGGCCCTCTTGGAATGCTCCAGGGCCGTCTTGGAGACCCTCTTGGGCGTCTTAAAGGCCTCCTGTGCCGTCTTGGGGGCCGTCTTGGGGCCCTCTTGGGCCGTTCTGGGGCCATCTTGGAGGCCTCTTGGGCGATCTTTCGGCGATCTTTGGGGGCTCTTGGGCCGTCTCGGGCCGTCGGAAGGCCGAAAAGAAGGAGATATCACATTCCATCAAACACGTTAGGAAAATCAAGGTTTTGGGCCTCTTCTGGCCTTCCTGGGGGCCCTCTTGGGGGCCGTCTTGGGCCAGCTTCGAGCGAACTTCGGCCATCTTGGTGGGTTCCTGGCACGTCTGACGCCGTCGGGAGCCGTCTTGGGAGCCTTTCTGGGCCGACTGGGGGCCCTCTTGGGGCGCTTCGGGGCCGTCTTGGGGGCCATCTTGGGCGTCCTGGAGGCCATCTTGGGCGTGTTGGAGGCCTATTGGGTCTTGGGGCCCTCTTGAGGCCCTCTTGGAGGCCACTTGGGCCGTCATGGGGCCCTCTTGGGGGCCTCTTGGGCGATCTCGGGGGCCTCTTGGGCCGTCTTGAGCCGTCGGAATGCCGAGCAGGCACAAATCCCCAAATCCTTCAACAACATAAGGACTGGGAGTGCGTGCGCAGAAATGTTTGTTGATCACGCAGTGTCGCTCTCTGGTCTATGCCCATAGCCTTTGGCTCCACAGATAAACCGGTGAAGTCCGGGGGCCACCGTCTGCATGCTGGGCGCGGGTGTCGCGCACTGGCAGTGGGCGGTCCTTTTGCTCCTGGCCTCGCTCCCAGAGGTTCGACGCTTCTCGCCGGAGCCGGCGAGGGAGGCACCGCCTAGTCTCGAGTCGGTGGTCGCGGGCGCCCTCGAGGAGCTGGGCGCCAGACGCGGGGGCTTGCCGCCTCCCTGGCCAGACGATCCCGCGGGAACGTCAGGCGTCGCCGATCGGCGCGAACAGGGCCTCGAGCCCGTGGAGTGCCGTTGCGAGTGCCCGAGCTGTGAAGTCTCGGCAGGCGGCGGCTGGGCTGTGGCGCTGGGTCTGGTTTCGGACGCTTTTCAAGTGAGGAGCTGGTGGACCCGCCGCAGCGATGGCGGCCCTAGTGCGCAACGCGAGGCTGGTGACGGAGACGGGCGCAAACGGCACAGAAGAGGGTATATTGCCTAGGCTGCGGCCTGGGCAAGCGGTGGCAGTGAAGTACCCAGGGGATGCGCTTTGGCACGAACGGCTGTTGATAGGCTCTAGCGCGGAGGAGCTGGGAACACTGCCAGGTTGGAACTGGCGCGTGATGACCCCAGACGGTGATGAGTACGAGGAGGCGTTGGACGGGAGCCAGCCCGGTCCGACGAGGCTTGCCATGCCCACGCTGGAGGGGGGCGCCCCGCGAATGCTTCGAGGGAAGTTCTACAGGTTCAGGGAGTACCCGACGGACGCGCAGCTGATTCACAAGGCCGTGGAGCACTTCCGCGCCAAGGCCTGCGCTGGCACACCTCAGCCGCTGCCGAGAGATTTCGTGGATGTGGACGGAGCGGCGCAGCCCTGGCCAGCTGCAGCGGCTCACGAGATGGAGTCGGCGCTGGGCCCCCTGGGAGGCGGTGGCGACGGCGGCGGCGCAGTGGTAGCCGCCGGCTCGATTCGGACCGCGCCGGAGCACTGCTGGATCACCTACGGCCTGGAGGGGCCCGAGCCAGTCGGGAGCATTGCGACGCCCGTGGATGGGGTGGACGCGCATGTCAGCGATTCCGTGATGATGAAGCAGTACGGAGGGGGCCTCGTCGTGAAGTGCGTGATGGTGCGTCGCTCGGAGGTGGAGGCGCACTCTCGTGAGCTGCTGGATATCGCGTCTGCTTGCACTGGGCCCGCTGCCCCAAGTGACGAGGCCGCGGGGGGCAAGGGCGCGGACCCCCCCCGAGACGATGGCAAGGGCGCCGCCGAGGAGGAGTGCAGGACCCTCTGGGTCGATTATGTTCCCCGTGGTGAACGTTTCAAAGAGTGGCGGCAGGTATGCTTGGAGTCGCGCACGGAGACCTGGAGCGACGGACCCGTGGAAGGACCTCCCTCGCTTCTTCGCTGGATGAATCAGGCCGCTAGGAAAGGCGGAAACCCGAAGATATGGCTCGCGGACTTCTGCCGGGACAGGAGGATCGAGAAGTCCGATCGCGTGTTTCGCGAGCTGCAGAATCTGGTCGAGGTTGTCTATATCGGAGGCACGTTCGATCTGCTGAACATGCCGGCCGCGCAGTGCTTCGAGCGCATCAGCCGCCGTATATCGTCGATCGTTGACGCCTACAGCGGCAGCGGCGGCCCATCATGGCGTATGGCGAGGCACTGCGAGGGCGTGTCAGGAGTGCTCGACTGCGCGTCTCCCGCTTTGCGACAGTGGGGGATCAAGCGAGCGAAGGACGAGAACGAGCTGAACACCGCCCGCACTCGCGGGCTGAAGGGCGGCTCTGGTGAGGATGAGGATGGTGGTGCTGACGAGGCTGACAAGGCGGAGAGCGGCGGAGGAAGCGGCGGTGGCCGCGGACGTGGTCGCGGCTCCGCCTCGAAGCCATGGCGGACCAGGGGGCCCGGGCGCGTGCTCCCAACCCGGGCCCCCGACGTGTGGGAGCGGGGGCTGCGGCCTCCTCTGCGGGCACCAGAGACCTTCCCGCTGCCTCGGGAGGAGGCGCCCGCGCGGCCGGCGAAACAGGGCGGCAGGAGGCTGGCCAGGTGGCGCGCGCGCCGCCGGGAGAGCGATCTGGTTGACAGCGCGCTCAGCGCACTTAATTGGACGCAGGGCTTCGAGCCTGGGCATGGGGCTCAGCTTGAGGGAGTTGAGACGCAGCGGGACGTGACGCAGTACGTGCATGGGCTGGCCCAGGGCGAGCAGCGCGCGCGCCGCGGGCTTGACGCGCCGCCGGCGCAGGTGGCCCTTCGGGAGTTGCTGCGCGGCCGTTCCCTGTGCGGCGCGGGGGCGGCTGACAACTTAATGGCGCCCATTCAACGGAGCCGCCTGTCGCTGCCGGAGTCCGTGGAGGGTTCTCCCTACATCGGCGACGTCTGCGGCAGGAGGGGCCACTACTTCTTGGAGAGGGAGGGCGAGCGCATGCTGAGGCCCGTCGCCGAGGCCCGGGCTGACCTCGCGCGCGACGGCACTCAGTGCTACTGCGACCCCGCCCTGGTGAATCGTAGGACCGTTTACACTGCTTTTTTGAAGGACTTGATGGCGAGGGGCCTTGTCGACTTCACGCTGCAGCCGCTGGAGAGCGTCGGCATCTTCTGCGTGTGGAAGAAGGGCCGCGAGCGACAACGACTTATACTTGATGCCCGCTGGTCGAATCAGTGGTTTAGACGGCCACCCAGCGTGGACCTGATCACTGCGGAGGGCCTGGGCAGTATTGAGCTCGACATCGACGATTCGGGGGTGGTGGACTCCGAGTTGCTTGCAGAGATGGGGCGGGGGCTTTCTGCGACGGTGGGCGTGGCGGATGTGAAGGGCGCCCTCCACCGTTTGCGGATGTCGCAGTTCCTGAGGCGGCACTTCTGCCCCCCGCCCGTCCGCAGCGGCGCCGTGGGCCTCAGTGGCCGAGAGGTGGAGGGGCAGGCATTTACAGGCAACGATCTGGTGTGGCCATGCTCCGTGGCTTTCCCGATGGGCTTCTCGTGGAGCTTCTTCTTCTGCCAGGTGTCCGGCGAGGAGCTCGCTGGCAGCGTGGCGTCGCCGGGGGCAGAGACCCTGCTCCGTGACCGCGGGGGGCCGCTGATACTTGATGGAGAGCGGCAGGGCTCTCTTCGACGCTACATCTACGTGGGCAACATGGGCGCGATGGGCACCGACCAGACCAGCGTCGAGGGCACGCTGGAGAACGTGGTGGGAGCGTTCTCCAGGAAGGGGCTGCTGGTGCACGAGCAGGCCGTCAGCTCTGGCGTCGTCGAGGTGCTCGGTGTCGAGGTCGACGGGCAGATGATGCAGACTCGGGCGACTGGCAGGAGGCGGCTGCGGGCTCGGCAGGCCATAGCCGGGCTGCTGCAGCGGGGCCTCTGCTCAGGCAGCGCGCTTGGGGCGTTGTTATGGCACCTCACCTTCCTGGCGATGTCCCGCCGAGCAGTGCTATCGTGTTTTCATGCACGATACGCTTGCGCGCAGAAAATCTACCTCCAGCCGGAACCATTGCGGCCCGCTGTGATTGAGGAGCTTCGCGTTTTTTCTGGCCGTTTTTCTTTGTAGCGACTGGGCCCGTCCCTGGAACCGGCTTGTGGTCGCCTCGG